GAGGCAGGTGGATCTCTGTGAGTTCCAGATCAGCCTGGTCTACCAAGTGAATTCTAGGACAGCCAGGGCCACATAGAGAAACCCTGTCTTGAAAAACAAAAACAAAGCAAACAAACAAAAATGACGGGATAAGGCCAGGAGATGGCTCACTGGTAAAGAGGTTCACCATCAACCGGAAGACCTGAGTTTAGTCCCTGAGACCCACATGATGGAAGTTAAGAACCAGCTCCTGGAGTTGACCTCCACGTGTACCCTGTGGCGTGTGAGTGCTTGCACACACGCACACACAAATTTTGTTTGTTTTTTTAGTCTGTTTTTCAAGACAGGGTAGCTCTGACTGTTCTGGAACTCAAAGATTCCCCTGTTTCTACCTCCAGAGTGCTTGGGATTAAAGGTGTTCACCATCAGCCGGGCGTTGGTGGCGCAGGCCTTTAATCCCAGCACTCGGGAGGCAGAGGCAGGCGGATCTCTGTGAGTTCGAGGCCAGCCTGGTCTACCGAGTGAGTTCCAGGACAGCCTCCAAAACAATACAGAGAAACCCTGTCTCGAAAAACCCAAAAAAAAAAAAAAAGAAAGAAAGAAAGAGAAAAAGACCAGAGAGAGAGAGGATACAGCAATACATTTGTACCTTAATGGAAGCTATCCTATACAGAAAAATGGTATGCAGGAGAAAGGGGAAAGTGCTAGAAATTCAGTTTCTTTTTTTAAATACATTTTAATGACTTATTTACTCTTATTTTATGTGTATTGGTGTTTTGCTTGGGTATATGTCTGTATGAAGGTATGAAGTCTCCCGGAACTGGAGTTACAGGCAGTTATGAGCTGCCATGTAGGTTCCTGGAATTGAACCCAGGTTCTCTAGAGGAGCAGCCAGTGATCTTAACCACTGAGCCATCTCTCCAGCCCCTAGAGATTCAGTTTCTATTCACATATATGTAGAGCCTATCTGGGCATCCCTCTGATTGAACTTTAGGAGAAAGATGATTTACCATCGTGTGCCTGCAAATAATTGGGTGTGTGCATGTGATTCAACTCAGATACCACAGGAAGGGGCGTGTGCAAGCGAGTAAAGCTAGTGTAAATTGTCAGCTAAGACAGAAAACCACCTCAGTTACATCCTCACCATCGAGCTCCTCTTCCCTTTATACCCCATAAAGGAAGACTCAGGCAATAACCTGGAACCTTTGACCACTTTCACCCAAGGAAGCTGTCTCTGGTAGCATTTCCAGTCTGAGATGTCACCTCACCTTTGAGTAAAGCTTCCTCTCTGTTATGATTATTATTTTTTATTTTTGAAACTGATATAATTACATTATCCCCCCTTCCCTTTCCTCCCTCCAGAACCTTCCACATATTACTCCTTGCTCTCTTTCAGATCCATGACCTCTCTTTTCATTAACGGTTGGCTGCTACCTACATATATGTATATTCATGTTTCTAAATATAACCCATTCAGTCTGCATGTTATTTGCACGTATGTTTCCATCACTGACCGTATTGGTATTAGGTAACCAATTGCTGTTCTCTTCTCTCTAAGACTATTTTTTCTACTCTCGGTATTCCTAGGAGCCTGTAGTTCTTAGTGTGGGTTGAGACTGCTGTCTTTCCCCCATCCAGTTCTGTCTGTTGTTGCTGTCCTGGTTCAGCTCGTGTTTGGGCATTCATCTTGGTGAAACTTTATGAGAGTGGCCTCTGACATTCCTAGAAGACAGAGTTTCACAGCAAACTCTGATCCTCTGGCTCTTACAATCTTACCACCCCTTCTCCTGAAATGTTCCCGGAGACCTAGGTTCAGGAGTTGTTTTGTAGATGTGTCCACCTGGACTGCACTCCAGATGATATATTCCAATCTGCGTACACCTCCTTTTCAATTGTTTGAGTGAGACATCAAGAACCTGAAGTGCCCCATTCAGACACTGCTTCTAGCCAAGAACTGAGACAGCAGGGTTGATGTAAGTTTGAGGTCTCAAAAACAAAAACAGGGGCTCACATATAGATAGATAGATAAAATTAATGTAATTTAAAAATTATTAAGAATCAGGGTGGCCGGGCGTTGGTGGCGCACGCCTTTAATCCCAGCACTCGGGAGGCAGAGGCAGGCGGATCTCTGTGAGTTCGAGGCCAGCCTGGTCTACAAAGTGAGTTCCAGGACAGCCTCCAAAGCTACAGAGAAACCCTGTCTCGAAAAACCAAAAAAAAAAAAAAAAAAAAAGAATCAGGGTGGTGGCCTTTTAATCCCAGCACTTAGGAAACAGAGGCAGGTGGATCTCTGTGAGTCTGAGGCCAGCCTAGTCTACAGAGTGAATTCCAGGACAGCCAGGGCTGTTACACAGAGAAACTGTCTCTAAAAATATAATAATAATAATAATAATAATAATAATAATAAAAGCACCTGCAACCAAACCTGACAGCCCGAGTCTGGTCCTCAGGATCCACTGGTGGACAGAGGGAACTAACTTCCCCCCACATACATGTGACACATACATGTGAACTTGAGCATGCATGTACACACACACACACACACACACACACACACACACTAAGCCACAAAAGTCAGGGGGCAAGAATGAAGAAAGATAATGGGATGCTGCAGGAAAGACAGACAGCTTTCACAAAAGCCTTCCTTCTTTCAATTAACTTATTCATGGCAGCGATGAATTTATTCATGGGAGCCCTTAATAGAGTCAGTAAGCAACACGGCAGTTTTGTGTGCTGCTTGTATTCCGGATGCTTAGGATGCTGTTTCACTTAGTGGGGAAGAATGAACTGAAGTGTCCAAAGCAAATATATCTTGGGTCTAGCTGGAGTGGGATTGATGATAACACAGCGAGTATTCACTAAATGCTTCATAAATGTTGAGAACAGCCTAGTTACTGAGGACTCTTGACCTGCCTCTTCCTTTTTTTTTTTTTTTTTTTTTTGGTTTTTCGAGACAGGGTTTCTCTGTGGCTTTGGAGGCTGTCCTGGAACTGGCTCTGTAGACCAGGCTGGCCTCGAACTCACAGAGATCCACCTGCCTCTGCCTCCCGAGTGCTGGGATTAAAGGCGTGCGCCACCAACGCCCGGCTCACCTGCCTCTTCCTTATCTACTTGTTTGTTCATTAGTTTTTCTGAGACAGGGTCTCTGTATTGTTTTGGAGGCTGTCTTGGAACTCACTCTGTAGACCAGGCTGGCCTCGAACTCACAGGGATCCACCTGCCTCTGCCTCCCGAGAGCTGGGATCAAAGCTGTGTGCCACTACCCCCTGGCTGGCATTTTCTTAATTGAGGTTCCCTCCTCTCAGATGACTTTAGCTTGTGTCAAATTGACATAAAACCATCCAGCGCACCCACCAAACTGAGGTGAATGTGTGATGTGAAAGACTATTTGATTAGGGTTATGTAGGTGGTAGAGGAGGCCCGTAAGGAATCTTAGCGTTGTCACCCAACGGGACACACTCCTCCATTGTTGTGCTGGCTGTCAAATCTGACTCCAGGCCTGTAGTTAAGCAACATTTGAATACTCAACTACATCCCAGCCCTGAAAAGAGTTTGAATACGACCAGATGAAGTCCTGGTATACTATCATAAGAAATCCTGGGTCACTGGGTGGGGGTGGCACCCGTCTTTGATCCCAGCACTAAGGAGGCAGAGGCAGGCAGATCTCTGTGAGTTCGTGGCCAGCCTGGTCTACAGATGGAGTTCCAGGACAACTGAGGCTACACTGGGAAACCCTGTCTCAAAAAACAAAAAGAAAAAAAGAAATAAGAAAGGAAGAAATAAATAAATCAAGACATCCGGGGTCAAACTTTGAGCCCTTCCCCTTCCGTCACCATGTCCCACATAGATAGATTTGGGAAAAATTCCAGTTTGAAAAGATGAGGTGACATCCCTAGCTCACGTGTTTTTTGTGAGTTTGGGTCTGGGTACTGGAAATCGAAGCTATAGCCTCAAGAATACTAGGCAAACACCAGCCACCCCTGAACTGGCCACTTATATTTTGAGACAGTGTTTCCCTAAGCAGTTCAGGCTGGCCTTACACTTCTGGGCCCCTGCCTCCGTTAATGGCATTGCTCTGTCTTTACTAGTGTCACCGTTACGTAGGAGGACCAGGAAAGGCCACTGAGTAGATAAACTCTTAGGTTGCACATCCGTCCCGGACCAAGTTTAAAGAATCATTGCAAGAGGGAGGGCGAGGGTGGGCAGCTGGGGAGATGGCTCAGTGGTTAAGAGCGCTCGCTCTTCCAAAGAACCAGAGTTCAGTCCCCGGACCCACATGGCAGCTCACAGCAGTTTGTGACCCCAGTCCCAGGGGATTCAACGACTTCTCTTCAGGTACCTAAATGCATTTGCAGAGAAGGCTTGATGACCCGAAATCCAGCCCATGAAAAAGTGGAGATAACTGACTCTATAAAGTCGTCTCCCGACTTCCACACGCACATGGTAGCACGTATGCGCACACGCGCACCGCCAACATACACACGGTAATAATAACAACTAATTAAAAATTTGTATCGGGAGAGCTAGACATGGTGGCACACATCTGAACTTGGAAGGTGGAAGCAAAAAGGTCATTCTGGATCTCAGACCCAAACCCACAAAAAAACACGTGAGCTAGGGATGTCACCTCATCTTTTCTGAACAAGAAACTTGTGAATTTTCTCCAAATCTGTGGGATATGGTGACGGAAGGGGAGGGGCTCAAAGTTTGACTTTGGATTTCTTTCTTTTTCTTTTTCCTTTTTTTTTTTTCCGAGATCAGCCTGAGCTATATGAGACCCTGTCTCAAAAACAAAAACAAACAAACAAAAGAAAGTTTTTTGCTAGTAGCCTTCGCCCAGGGGGAAGGGACAATAAGTTCTCCAGGCAAGATCTAGAATGCCAACCTAAGGGATGAGAAATGCAACGGGCTGGGCACCAGGAGGCGCCCGTCGGACCCGCCCGGGACCTAGCAACCCAGGGGACGCGAGGCGGGAGGTCCCGGGAGCTGCGCGGTTCGTGGGCGCCGTCTGTAGCCACCTCTCCGCTCCCCTGGTCACTGCCCCCCCCCCCGGGTGTGAGCGCCGCGGTGGCGACGGTGCGAGGCGGGAACCACGGACGGACGGACGGACGGCGCGGTCGGCCGCCCCAGCGTGGTCGGAGACAGCTGTTCTCCGCGGCGGCCGTGGGGGGCAGCAGAGGGGACCGCGACAGGTGCGGGAGCCCCTCCCAGGGCAGAAGTGGGAAGCCGGGCTCCGGGTATGTTCCCAGGCTGGAAACCACCCCCGCCCCCCCCCAACAAATCCCCCCGAGAGGCCGGGCCGGCGCCGGGGCTGCGGGAGGAAGCGGCCGGAGACAGTGCGATTTCACGCGGCCTCCGGGGCTCGGGTTCCCGGGCCGGATACTTGAGTTATGGGGCTTTGGGTCCCGGGGAAACTGAGGTGGCATGGACTCCAGGCTGAAAAACAACAACCTCCCACTCAGAAAAATAGAAGTATTCACACCCCAAAAAGAAGAAAAAAAAATCCCTCAAGTGATCCAACCGGCTAGGGGAGTTGAGTGATTTGGTTAATGGGCGAGGCCAGCTTTCAGGGGGCTGGGCTTTGGCGCTCTCCCCACCCGCATTCACTACCTTTCCCCGGCCCGGGGACATTCGGATTCTTGATCTCTTCTTAACCATCTCCGGGGGAAATTGCTAGACTGAGACCCCTCCTTGACCCTCTTGGCCGAGCTGCGGGCTGGCGGGGCGCGCTCTGGGCGGGTGTCCCAGGCTGCAACCCTCGGCGACTCCAGCCTCGCACGGGAGGGGGGCGCGGCCGTGACTCACACCCCCTTCCCCCTTTCCCTCCCTCCCTCCCTCCTTCCCAGACAGACACCCTCCCCTGCCGTCCCGCTCCGGACTCCGACTCCGGCTCCTGTTGCAGTTTGCAGCCTCCGGTGCCGCCGCTGCCTCCACCACCTATGCGCCGGGCTGCCCAGGTGGCTGTCGCTTCGATGTCCTAACCCAGGGGCCCCCGGGCCAGACTCGCCTGGGCTCCCTTCACCCTCCGCTGGAATCATGAGGGCGATTGGGACTCTGCAGGTGCTGGGCTTCCTTCTCAGCCTGGCCCGGGGTTCCGAGATGGGCAACTCTCAGGCAGGTAAGCCCCGCGGGGAGCCCCAGCAGGCTGGAAGCGGAGAGCGAGCGCGACCTGAGCGCGCGCAGACCCTGGACAAGGGGTTCGGGTTCTGAAGCGCTCAACGGGGGTTGCGACCCCGAGTCTACCCGAACCACCTAGGAGGGGACCGCGAGGCTCTGTTCTCCGAGTGGGCTGGGCAGGGACTGCATTCCTGGATGCCTACCCTTCTCCCCCGGGGCATCGCTGACCCTCTGGTTGGTGTTTTTCTGATCAGGTTGATACGGACAGTAGTTCGGAGAGCCTTACAGAGAGGGCGGGCAGGGACCCTTCTGTAAACCCGAGGAGCCTTGGCTGAAGGGTCTCTGTTTGCACTCCGGCTCCCTGGTCTCCACCCCACCCCACCCCAGGTTTCAGCACCCCCCAGTTTCGTTGTTTTGCCGGCAGGGCGGAGCTATGCAAGGGTTGAAGTTGTTGTTTTCTGATGTTGGAAAAACAAGAATAGCACCTCCTCTTCCGTGAGTGGGGCTGCCCTGAGAAGGCTGAGATTAACCTGAGGGCCAAGTCCAGGTGACTTCAGAGTGAGAGGCCTCACGGGGCTGCCTGCCTCCCCACTTAGCCAGCTTCTCTTTACCAAGACCCTGTCAATTCAGTTAACACGTCGAGCATCTGCTATGTGCTGTACTATTCCTGAGCTGGAGGTGTGGGGGAACGGACAATTTAGCGCTAGTTTCTTTCCAGTCTGGGTCACCTCTCCTACCTTCTGAACATCCTATTCCTTGAGCTCGCTCCTAGACCCAACTTGTCCCTTCCCCCATTCACTTCATCGTCTAACTTCAGACACAGGCCAGATTGTTCCGTGCCATCTGAGCCCATTCCTCTGGCTGTCTTTGGGACCACGGGCACCTGAAGGGTTCTGGGGTTGGTGTACTCAGAGTCCCGTTGATCTCGCTTCAAGCCCGCCACCCCATCTCAGCATGGGGTGCAGCCAGGGCCCCTCCCCAGAGTGGGAGTGGAGGAGACCACCTGTGCTTCCCCCACAGTTGCTGGGTCTAAATTTAGTCCCTGGGATCTTGAGATGTGAACACTCCCAGCTGGTGGAGGGGGTGGTCTAGAGACTGGAGGGGGAGGTGCCAGGGGTGTGACCGGATCTCTCTTCCATCTGACTGTGCACCCCCCCCCAACCAGGAACCCAAGAGTCCAGGATTCCCACCACCCTCCCCGAGAAGCAGGGAGCAGGCATGGTTGGGTCTCTATCCTTTATCTCTATCCTGCAGCCTCTGGGCATCCGGCCCTGTCTCAAGCCTTGTATAGCCCCTTTGTCCCTGTGTGTGTTTGTGTATGTGTGTCTGTGTGTGTGTGTCCCTGTGTCTCTGTGTGTCTCTGTATGTCTGGGGCAGTGCAGGGGAGACTTCTGAGGGGCTGTGTGTTCTTGCTCTGTCCAACCCCAGACAGTGCTCTCCATAGAAGGCTCTGACACTGTCCCTCTTTGAGCTTAGGCCGCCAACGGGCAGTCCTAGCTGCTTCCTTGCCGTGGTCCCCAAGTTGCTTGGCTCCTCCTGGGTAGTTGTTTATACTCTTTCCTGCCCAGGCCCTTTGCCCCTGTTTGTGAAATACGGACTTTGCCCTCAGGGTGGCAGGTTACTGAGACTTGTAAGGCCTTGTAAAGCGTAAGATGCAAGGTGTACAAGTTACTGTGGCCAGATGGATGGACTGGCCACTTGTGAGACTTCCCAATACGGACCCCAGGCTGGGGCAAAGCAGTATGTATTTCTGAGCCAGGGGAACTGTGTACATGTTGGTGTACCTGTCGTGCAGGGTGAGAAGTGCTTATACGCACGTACACACCGCTTCCCTATACAGCGATCCTAGCTCCTCCCTTATCTGGGGAGAAGGGTTGGCGCCTTAACTTGGAAGAGGGGTGTCTTGCCAGGAAGGGGACAGGGGTGGGGCTGTTTCAGAGATGACTAACCCTCCTAGCCTTTCTCTTCAGCCCAGGGACCCTGGGGTTCCTGGGTGCCTCTGGGAGCCTCAGACTGTTTATGCCTCCTTGCTGGGACTAGCTCACTCTTTCTGTCACAGAGACCGATAGGGAAGAGGATCTTTTTTGTTTGGTTGGTTGGTTTTTTCCAGACAGGGTTTCTCTGTGTAGCTTTGTAGGCCAGGCTGGCCTCGAACCCACAGAGGTCTGCCTGCCTCTGCCTCCCGAGTGCTGGGATTAAAGGCGTGCGCCACCAACCCGCCCCCACCCCCATCTAGGGACGAGAATCTTTAAAAAGTGGTCAGACCAGGAGGAGCTGGGGCCTCTGCTCTCTCTCCCACTCTCTCTTCTGCCCTGCCTCAGGGAAGGGTGGTATGAGCAGGTGGTTCGCACCCCTACCTCCACCCTCCCCATATGCTCCTCCACTATGTCAGATCCATAGAGCACCGAGGGCCCTCTCTTTTTACAAAGGAAAGCGAAAGCCCGAGACTGGTGCCCTGCCACTCTTCTGGCTCTCCCTGGAGTGCCCGCTGGCCACCACTGCCACAGTTAGAAGTCTTTAACGATCCCATTGACAGTGAAGTTGAGAAGGCTTCAAAGGGAGTGGAGGGTCTGTTCTGTTTCTCTCCAGGAGAGACGCTGGGGGAGCTGGGGCACGTTGGCCTAGGGGAAGGGAGTAGAAGGGAAGCCAGAATTCAGGAAAGGGGAGGCCGCCAACTCCTTATCCAGCTTCGGAGACAAAGGTCCCATTGACCCCCACCCTACTACCAGGGTTTGTCCCCGCAGTGAGGTCACTCGTCTGAGCCCAAAGCTCCGGGGTAGGAGGGGGGTGCTGCTAAGGATGGGGTGTCTGAGATAGGGTGGGGCAGCCCCCTCCTCCTGGATAGAATCGCCTCATTGTGGGCTGAACTGTGTGGCCCCAGGCACTGCCCCCATCCCACCCTGTGGACACAATAGGGGCTGTGTGCTGGCCCCAAAGAGATGTTTATTCCAGGACCTTAGAGACGCGGGTGGGGGCAGAGAAGTAAGTGCCTGAGTTGATGAGGAGAAGGGCAGTCAAAGTTTGATCCCTGCCTAATGTGTCCTTCCTAGGGAGAGGAAAAGTCCCCTGAGGTCTTCCTTCATATTAACCCCTCAGTGCCCAAGTTAGTGCCCAAAACAGGCCTGCTGGGGCCTCTGGTGAGGAAAAGCCCACGTTTCACCTTTCGGTTTGAAATGACCAGGGGATCGTGAGAAGTGACCCCAGCCTTGGAGGCTTTGGAGGCCTAGTGGGCAGGGTTAGAGGCAGCTGAATGTAGCTGAGGGCAGCTGAGGGGCTTCGATGGAGGGGGCGTCTAGCTTACCTGTCTACCCCACCTCCATGTTTACAGTGTGTCCTGGGACTCTGAATGGGCTGAGCGTGACCGGTGACGCGGAGAATCAGTACCAGACGCTGTACAAGCTCTACGAGAGGTGTGAGGTGGTAATGGGCAACCTGGAGATCGTTCTCACGGGACACAACGCTGACCTTTCCTTCCTTCAGGTGAGCGAGCTCAGCCCTCACTCACACTGTCACCTCTTCCCTCACTCACACTGTCACTCTTGGCTCTTCCCACCACGCCAAGTAGAAATGCTCTCCCTTTCTCGGGCCACCCTCAGCAGCTCCGAAGGCTCAAACCTATCCTTAGGAGGACAGTGGCTGTGGGGGGGTCTGGTCCTGGAACCAGGGATAGGTGGAAGCTGGTCACAAGAAAGAACAGGCAGTGTTCTAGTATGTAGAACTGTCCAGTAAGCCACCCCAGAGGCGTCTGAAGAGATGAGGAAGGGACTAAGCCAGAGCCTTCCTGCTGTGAGTGACCCTCAGTCATCTGTATGGCTGTTTGTTCACGAAAGCAGCACAGTGGTGTGACAGCCTGCACCCTGCAAATTAGGAGCTAGCAAGAATTCAGAGCTTGGATTCCAGCTCAGTGGTGGGCTGCTTGCAGAACATGCCTGAGGTCCTGGAGTGAGTCCCCCCAGGGGGCTGGGTACAGTGGCATGCACCTCTAAGCTCTTCTACCGAGGAAGCTGAGGCGGAACAATGCTTCACTGAACCCAGGAGTTCAGGACTGGAGTCAGAGGGCCACTATGGCTCAGTGGTAGAGCACCTGAGGAGAGGGGCCGCCCCCCCCCCCGTCCCGTTCACTGATGTGATCTGCTCTGTCATAGTGGATCCGAGAAGTGACAGGCTACGTCCTCGTGGCCATGAATGAATTCTCTACGCTACCCTTGCCTAACCTCCGTGTGGTGCGGGGAACCCAGGTCTATGATGGAAAGTTCGCCATCTTTGTCATGTTGAATTACAACACCAACTCCAGCCATGCTCTCCGCCAGCTCCGCTTCAACCAGCTCACCGGTCAGTGTCTGCGATCCCTTCTGGTCTAAGCTCCTCCCAGCTGTCCACTTCCATGGCGGTCTAGAAGCCTACCGCTCTCGAAGCAGTAGGGCCCCAGGAGGGAGCTGGGGGCATCTGCTCCAGGAAGGAGGGATCTTATGTGACTGTGGGGTTGGACTGGGAATTGGATCTGTTGCCCATTCCTCCAACGTCGAAGGACAAGAGTCGCTTGATATCCCCTCATTCCCTGGGATCTTACCTTTGCCCCAGCAGCTGGAAGAGCGCAGGGGGTTAAACAACCCCCGCACCCCCCAGGCACCCTCTGCTCACCCCCCCTTACACTCAGGTAAACCCGGGGGATTGAATCAGGATGTCCTGTCCTTCTCTCCCCGCCCCTCCCCCACTGGCTAAACCGGATCCAGACAGGTGTCTGAAGAGGCAGGAGTTTGTTTGGCACGTCTCCTCCTCTGCGAGGGTCAGCCAGTTTTTCCTGAAGCCTGAATCTGATTGGACCACCTGTGGGCCAGGCCCATGGTCCCCGTGGGTCTGAGTGTCCTTTGGATTGGTAGGAAGGTAGAGAGCAGGAGCCGTGCTGTGGTCTCCAGCCTGTGGCCTTTCTTCCCACCACAGAGATCCTGTCAGGGGGTGTCTATATTGAGAAGAATGACAAACTTTGCCATATGGATACAATCGACTGGAGGGACATCGTGAGGGTTCAGGGTGCCGACATTGTGGTGAAGAGCAATGGCAGAAACTGTAAGTGACGGTGATCAGGACAGCCCCGCTTGCCCCAGCAAACCAGAGACTCCTTCATCCCTACTAGATCCCTTATCAGACCCCAGCCCACCAGACAGTTACCTCAGGCCCTTGACCCAAGGGCCTGCCTCCCAGGAGGGACCGGGTCAGCCTCCTGGAGCTCAGACTAGTGTGTCCGGAGAAGAGGCCAAAGCTGTCTGGACGCTAAGCAGGGAGTCCAGGACTCTGGACTAACCCCTGTTGTCCCCGCCACTGTGCCGTCTCTCTGCCGCCCTGACCTACCCTACTCAGGCACAGACTCTGTTTGTTTGGGAGGAACCAGGTTCCTGGGATGGCTGGGACTGAGGCTGGCATCTACCCCAGCCCCTCCCCTTCAGCTGCCCAGTGGGTAGTGTGGGGGAGTGGCTCCTCCCCTTGTTGACAGGTTCGCTTGTGCCCAGCCCTGTTCTCCAAGGGCAGGGAGGAACACAACCCAGAGTTTGTGTGCTGACATCATACCCTGTCGATTCAAGCGAGCCTTTCTCAGTCGGCCCTGATGGCCTTGTGTGTTGTCCTGCTCCCCATCCAGGTCCTCCCTGTCATGAGGTCTGCAAGGGGCGATGCTGGGGGCCTGGACCGGAAGACTGCCAGATATGTGGGTTTGAATTTCCTTCTGAAGAGTTAAAGCTCATACCCTCTCGTACCCCTACCCATGCAATCCTGCCTGTGCCAATCCTAACAGAATGAGAGATGGCTCTGAATTCAGTCCTGACTGTCATGCTTTCTCTCTTTTCCTAGTGACCAAGACCATCTGTGCCCCTCAGTGTAACGGACATTGCTTTGGGCCCAACCCTAACCAGTGCTGCCATGATGAGTGTGCGGGAGGCTGCTCTGGGCCCCAGGATACAGACTGCTTTGTACGTAATGATACCGTCTGCGTGTGCTCTGCAGTAGGGATGCAGGCTCGGGGGGCAGTGGGTGTATAGACAGTATAAATGTGAGGCATCTTTCTCATCCCCAGGCCTGCCGACACTTCAATGACAGTGGAGCCTGTGTGCCCCGGTGTCCGCAGCCTCTCGTGTACAACAAGCTGACATTCCAACTTGAGCCCAACCCCCATACCAAGTATCAGTATGGAGGGGTCTGCGTGGCCAGCTGTCCCCGTAAGTGTTTGAGGGGAAGGGACAACGATAGTGGACCCAAGATTCTAGACCCAAGTTTGGGATGCAAAAATGGGTTAAAGTAGATGTTGCCTAGGGGAACCTAGATGTGATCGTGTGACCTCAACCAGAGAGTGACTATGTCCACACTCCTCACGGCTTCCCCTAGACTTCTAGCTGTGACCAGTTGGAACAGCAAATGGCAAAGGGGTCTGTGAATGCAGCTTAGCTGACAGAGTGCTTGCCTAGCGTGCACAAGCCCTGGGTTTGAAAATTCCAATACCATAAACTGGGCAAAATAGTGTGCTGTAACCCAACACTCAGAGATAGAGATAGGTAGGATGATCAGAGACTCCTGGTTATCCTCAGCTACACGACGAGTCTGATGACAGGGCTAGCAACACAGCTCAGCAGCTGAGACCAATTGCTGCCCTGTGTCTAGTTCCCTTATCAGACAGCCCACAGTAGCCTACAGTTCTAGTTCTAGGGGATCTGACATCCTATTCTGAACTTCTTGGGTGCCAGGCACAAATGTTGTACACCTATGTACATGCAGGCATTTGTATACACACACAAAATAAATAGGAGACTGGAGAGATGGCTCAGAGGTTAAGAGCACTGATGGCTCTTCCAGAGGTCCTGAGTTCAATTCCCAGCAACCACATGGGATCTGGTGCCCTCTTCTGGTGTGTAGTCATATATGGGGGCAGAATGTTGTATACATAATAAATAAATCTTTAAAAAAAAAAAAGAAGTTGGCAGTATATCTAATGGTGGTCTCCTCTTTCCTAGATAACTTTGTGGTGGATCAGACATCTTGTGTCAGGGCTTGCCCTCCTGACAAGATGGAAGTAGATAAAAATGGACTCAAGATATGTGAGCCTTGTGGAGGGCTGTGTCCAAAAGGTGATCTGGAAGCAGTGAGAAATTATACCCAGCCTTTTCTCTGAAGTGACCCAGGACCCAGCACTGAGACTCTTGTGTTTTGCAGCCTGTGAGGGGACGGGCTCTGGAAGCCGCTACCAGACTGTGGACTCCAGCAACATTGATGGGTTTGTGAACTGCACCAAGATCCTGGGCAACCTGGACTTCCTTATCACTGGCCTCAATGGGTGAGAGACTCTGCTCTCCCGCCCTAACCCCCGGCCCCATCCACCACACAAGCCTCAGCGGCTTAAATCCCTCCGTGCAGGTGACTGGAAATGTAAGGCATAAGGTCTTAGGCGCTACAAAGGACCTGAGAGAACGTGTGACTCCACCTTCCACTGGGCAACCCTAAGCAACGCAGTATTACCCTGAGGAATGATTCGGTATAGGGCCGGTGTGGGCCAGTGTGTAGACCAGCTAAAGGTTTCTAGAAGTTCTTCCTTAAATCTAAATAAGAGGAAGCTGGAGACGCAACAGTCCACAGAGACAGCTTCACGGCTTTCTGTGTCTCTAGACACACACACACACACACACACACACACACACACACACACACACGCACATACACACACACACACACCTAAAAATGATGAAAACAATTGTCTATTTTTCATTTTTTTACATTTATTTATTTGTTTATTTTGTTTTTTTGAGACAGGGTTTCTCTGTGTAGCTCTGGATCCTGGTACTCAGTCTGTAGACCAGGGTGGCCTTGAACTCACATAGGTCCACCTGCCTCTGCCTCCTGAATGCTGGGATTAAAGGCGTGCGCCACCACTGCCAACTACGTTTATTTATTTTATTTTATGTGCATGAGTATGTCTGCACCACGAGTGTACCGGATGCCCACAGAGCTCTGAAGAGACACTGAATCCCCTGAAATTGGAGTTAGAGATGCCAGGAGCCATTATGTGGTTGCTAAGAACAAAACCCAGACCTTCTGCAAGAGCAGCTAGTGTTGTTTGTTTTTTCCAGACAGGGTTTCTCTGTGTAGCTCTGGCTGTCCTAGAACTTGATCTGTAGACCAGGTTGGCCTCAAACTCAGAGATCTTCCTGCCTCTACCTCCTGAGTGCTAGGATTAAAGGCATGTGCCACCACGTCCAGCTATATATGATTTTGTTTTGTTTTGAGCATTTAAAAAAAATCATGTCTCTCTTTTCCTCCTTATACGCACAGGCCATATACCTTTACTTGGTTTTGTTTTGTTTTGTTTTCCAGTGAGATAAGGTCTCCATATGTAGCCCAGTTTGGCCTTCGACCTTGGCAGCCTCTTAAGTTTTAGTGCAGAGATTATAGGCGTGTGCTTTCACCTTTGCCCTAGTTGGTTTATTTTTTATACTGTCTGGGTGTTTTTCCTGCATATATGTTGTGCGCTGTGTGCATGCAGTGCCCAAGGTGACCAGAAGAGAGAGGGTGTCTAACTCTGTGGAGCTGGAGTTACAGACAGTTGTGAGCAGCCCTGGGCCGTTTCTTCTCTTTTTGGTGTGAGATGCTCTGGCTGTATGTGCTTAAGTTTCCCCACCACCAGCATCTCTCCAAGTTGTCCTGTTTCCTTAGGATGAAGACTATGATTTAGGAACCAAGAGGCTGGGTTATAGTAGAACAGCTTGCTTAGCATATTAAAGCCCTGGGTTTGAACCCCAGCACTGTAGGGAAAAATGACATCTGGAGAACGGTGTTTTGAGGTGTGGTGTGTTTATTACCACTAAACCACGTGTGCCTCTTCTTTATTGAGTTTTCACTGTTCCTCCAGAGACCCCTGGCACAAGATCCCTGCACTGGACCCAGAGAAACTCAATGTTTTCAGGACGGTACGGGAGATCACAGGTGAGGAAGGTCAAAGGCTTCCTTTGTTGGAAGGAGCAGACAACCCACTGGCTGCGTTACACTTAAACCACTTAAGAAAAGTCACACTCAGCTGGGTGTTGGTGGCACACGCCTTTAATCCCAGCACTCGGGAGGCAGAGGCAGGCGGATCTCTGTGAGTTCGAGACCAGCCTGGACTACCAAGTGAGTTCCAGGACAGCCTCCAAAGCCACAGAGAAACCCTGTCTCACAAAAGCAAAAAAAAGAAAAGTCACACTCAATGGCTCAGGGGTTAGGAGCACTAGCTGTTCCTCCAGAGGTCCTGAGTTCAATTCCCAGCAACCACATGGTGGCTCACAACCATCTGTAAGGAGATGTGGTGCCCTCTGCTGGCCTGCAGGAATACAAGCTGGCAGAATGCTGTGTATAAATAAATAAATTTAAAAATAAAAAGTCGCGGGGAGGGCACGGGAGGAGGGGAGGGAAAGGGAGAGGGACCTGGAACTGACTTGTGAAGCAACCTTGTTTCTTATCTAAATTTAAACTGGAAAATAAAAAAATAATAATAATAAAAAAAGAAAAAGAAAGAAAAAGTCGCCAGGCGGTGGTGGCACACACCTTTAATCCGAGCCCTTGGGAGGCAGAGGCAGGTGGAGCTCAGTGAGTTCGAGGCCAGCCTGGTCTACAAAGTGAGTTCCATGATGGCCAGGGATGTTACACAAAGAAACCCTATCTTGAAAAAAAGAAAAAGAAAAAAAAAGTCACACTCCAAGACACAGTGAGACAGTGACAGAGAGCCGAAGAGCAGGAGACTCCCTGCTCATATGCCTCTCTCCAACCCTTCAGGGTACCTAAACATCCAGTCCTGGCCTCCTCACATGCACAACTTCAGTGTCTTTTCCAACCTGACAACCATCGGAGGCAGAAGCCTCTACAAGTGAGTAAGGTGTTGGGTGCTATGGTCTGCAGACAGTGAGACGGGCGTCTCCTTATGACGGGATCACCCAGCAGACCCCAGTACTCTGTTAACACAGTGGAGTAAAGGCGGAAAGGGAGGGGGGAGCCACGAGGTGTTGTGACCTTAACACTGCAGAGACTCACCCAGGAGGGTCACAGCAAGTTCAAGACCAGCTTGGGCTGCATAGTGAGTTCCACACGTGCCTCAGAGCTATAGTAAGACCCGTCTCAGAAAACAGTCCCGCCAAAAGAGGGAATACCTCTCCATGGTTCTAACTTAACCTGGAGCAAATTTGTTGAGTGGAAATAAATCCCATGTGTATCTAATTTTCCATTTATAGTCTGCCTTCTAACCCTGCCTCCTGATTCCAGCCGGGGCTTCTCCTTGTTGATCATGAAGAACCTGAACGTCACATCACTGGGCCTCAGGTCCCTGAAGGAAATTAGTGCTGGGCGTGTCTACATAAGTGCCAATCAGCAACTCTGCTACCACCACTCTCTGAACTGGACAAGACTGCTCAGGGGGCCTTCAGAAGACAGACTTGACATCAAGTATAATCGGCCTCCAAGAGAATGTGGTGAGCAGAAAGGCCTAGCAGCAGTGAGAATCGGTGGTTGGGGAGGTGGGAGAAACAGAGGCAGTTTGATTCTCAAAGTGGAAAAGGCTTGAGGGATGGAGCCAGTGAGGAAGTGGGTGTGACAGTAGACACAGCCGTGAAGAATTGTCCCGAAGAAGGCTTCCTGGGAGTCCTGAGTCTCTCCCTAACGTATCTGTTCTTTTCCAGAGGCAGAGGGTAAAGTGTGTGATCCACTGTGCTCCTCTGGGGGATGTTGGGGCCCAGGCCCTGGCCAGTGCTTGTCTTGTCGAAACTACAGCCGGGAAGGTGTCTGTGTGACTCACTGCAACTTCCTGAAAGGGTACAGTGGGGAGGAGGTCGAGGGGGGGGAGTAAGGCCCAGGAATGGATGGAGTAGGCCAGGTGCTAATGCCCCCCCTACTCTGTAGCCCAGACCCGCCTTAAATCCTTCTGTCTAAACCTTCCACATGCTGGGATTCCAGCTATGAACCACCATGTCTGGCTCAGTGAGGGAGCGAGGGAATGGGGGCAGGGAGAGACAGAGAGGACCTCATAGTTCTGGCCTGGACTTGCTATGTGGACCAGACAGGGCTCAGAGATCTTCCTGCTTCTGCTTCTTGAGCGCTGAGATGAAAGGTGTGTGCTACCATATCTGGTCCTCTCTTTCTTTCTTGTTTGCTTGCCTGCCTCACTCTGTAATCCAGGCAGACCTTGAACTCATGGAAATCTTCCTGCCTTAGCTTCCAAAGTGCTGGGATTACAGATGTGGGCCACCACCCCTGGCTTTGTAGGCAGCTTTCTGCTTGTGTCTTGGTGGGCACGAAGTAGAAAGACCTCATTAATAAGGGCATAAAGATCAGAACTTTGGAAGTGACCACCTTCTCGGTGTCCCCCACTGCAGGGAGCCTCGGGAGTTTGCTCATGAGGGTGAATGTTTCTCCTGCCACCCAGAATGCCTACCCATGGAGGGCACCAGCACATGCAATGGCTCGGTACAGTAGCCGCCCTGGGATCTGCGAGGGAGATGGGGACTGTCCAGGGAAAGATATGGCCAGATTCCCAGGGAAGCCAGAGAACCCTGGAATTTGTACAACCTGAAGGAATAAAGGCTGGAAGTAACCCTGAGATCTCATTCTCAACAATTCTCTTCTACTCAGGGCTCTGAGGCTTGCACTCAATGTACCCATTTCCGTGATGGGCCCCACTGTGTGAACAGCTGCCCCCATGGTATCCTAGGTGCCAAGGGCCCAATCTACAAGTACCCAGATGCTCAGAACGAATGTCGGCCCTGCCACGAGAACTGCACGCAGGGGTGAGTGATGGGATGAAAAGAAGGGGCTCAGGCAGAGAGTAGAGACACGGAACTAGGGTAAGGGGAGAAGCTAGAAGAGAGGTTCGGCTGACTGACTTCCAGGGCAGGAGAGACGGCTCAGTGGTTAAGAACAATAGCTGGCCTTCCAGAGACACTGAGTTCAGTTCCCAGCAACCACATGATGACTCACAACCACCTATAGTGAGATCCTGTGCCTTCTTCTGGCAGGCATATATGCAGGCAGAACACTGTATACATAATAAATAAATAAATCTTAAAAAGAAAAAAAAGAGAAAAACTCACTTCCAGCTACAGAGTAAAGGGCTGGAGGAGGAGAGACTCGCAGCACGAAAGTGGACCACGGTTAGGGGAAGCTGGAATAAGCTCAGCTCGGGAGGGAGTTTAATTCAGGAAAGGCTCATAGTGAGCCAGAGATGAGGAATGAGATGCTCAAGAGGTGGAGTCCCCTCTGCTTAGGGGCTTGGTTTGGGGCTCGGGGTGAGGTGCCACAATAAGTTTGTTCTGAGACAAGCTTTTATATGTGGAGGCTCTTGGACCTGAGTCTCTTATTGTCTCTTAAAAAATTACTTTATAGGAGTTGCATGTAAGATACAATTACTTTGTGGGCTGGAGAGATGGCTCAGAGGTTAAGAGCACTGACTGCTCTTCCAGAGGTCCTGAGTTCAATTCCCAGCAACCACATGGTGGCTCACAACCATCTACAATTCAATCTGGTGCCCTCTTCTGGCGTGTAGGCAGAAAAGTGTATATGTAATAAATAAATAAATAAATCTTTAAAAAAAAAGATACAATTACTTTATAAATATTTACTATTAGCCGGGTATTGGTGGCTTACACCTTTAATCCCAGCACTAGGGGGGCGGAGGCAGGTGGATCTCTGAGTTCGAGGCCAGCCTGGTCTACAGAGGGAGTTCCAGGACAGCTTCCAAAACAACACAGAGAAACCCTGTCTTGAAATACCAAAATAAATAAATAAATATTTACTATGTATATTGTGGATATAGGGACAGTGTGTGCATGCATGCTCCGGTGTGTGTATGGAGACTGAATGACAACTTGAGGAAGTTAAGTCTCTCCTTCCCTTGTATGGCTCCCAGAGATCAAACCCAGGTCCTCAGGCAGCAAGGACCTCACTGCTGACCATCATGTTGGCCCAAGCCTCTATTGTCTACTTACTAATAGGGTGGTTTTCTTTTCTAGGTGTAAGGGACCAGAACTACAAGACTGTTTAGGCCAAACAGAGGCGCTAATGAGGTAAGCTTGGAGGTTGTGGAACCCAGGAATGTTTGAGGGAAAGGTTGGGGGACGACCCATAGGTCCATGCAATTCATTTTGCCTTTTCTTTTTTTGGGTGGGGCTGGGATCAAAGGTGTGTGCCACTACTGCCTGATTCGTTCTGCCTTTTAGAAAATGATAAGTACCCAGACGTTGGTCTCACACGCCTTTAATCCCAGCACTCGGGAGGCAGAGGCAGGCGGATCTCTGTGAGTTGAGGCCAGCCTGGTCTACAGAGTGAGTGCCAGGGTAGGCTCCAAAGCTACACAAAGAAACCCTGTCTCAAAAAAAAGAAAGAAAGAAAAGACTTATGTGGACTGGAGAGATGGCTCAGAGGTTAAAAGCACTGACTGCTTTTTTAGAGGTCCTGAGTTCAATTCCCAGCAACCACATGGTAGCTCTTAGATTTATGTATTCATTAGGTATAGTGTTCTGCCTACATGTATGTATCCCTGCAGGCCAGAAGAGGGCACCAGATCTCATTACAGAGGGCTGTGAGTCACCATGTGATTGCTGGGAATTGAACTCAGGACCTCTGGAAGAGCAGCCAGTGGTCTTAACCTCTGGGCTATCTCTCCAGCTGCTATTTTTTTACTTTTTTTTTTTGTTGTTGTTGTTGTTGGTTTTGCTTTTGTGACAGACAGGGAATCACAAAACTTGTTATGTAGACTGGACAGGCCTATAACTCACAGAGATCCGCCTGCCTCTGTCTCCCAAATACTGGGATTAAAGGTGTGTATCACTACATCTGCCTTTTAAAAAATATTTTTTACATGTATGAGAAATGCCTGAAGGTGTGCATGTCCACCATGTGGGCCTGGTGCTTGGGGAGGCCAGCAGAGAGTGCTGGAGCCCCCTGGATCTGGAGTTATGGATGGCTTTGAACCATGATGAAAGTTCTGGAAACCTAACCAATGAGCCAACTCTCCAACCTCCTCCCTGCCACCCCACCTTTTTTTAAGATAAAGACTTATTTCATTTATTTATTTGTTTATTTATTTGGTTGGTGGGTTGGTTGGTTTTTCGGGACAGGGTTTCTCTGTGGCTTTGGAGGCTGTCCTGGAACTTGCTCTGTAGACCGGGCTGAATTTGAACTCACAGAGATCCGCCTGCCTCTGCCTCCTGGTGCTGACTCTAGAGGCGTGCACCACCCGGCGGCTTTTTTATTTTCAATGACATCTACTTGTGTGGGCTTCAGTGCACATTCACTCAGAAGAGGGTGTCAGATCCCCTGAACAGGAATTAAAGGTGGTCGTGAGCCACCATTTCGGTGCTGGGAACTGAACCCAGGTCCTCCGCAAGATTGGCCAGTGCTTTTAACCACTGAGCCATCTCTCCAAACCCCCTTCCCTACCACCCTTTAATATTTGTTACTTATTCTTTGGAAATTTAGTACATTCATATAATGTATTTTGATCATACCAATCTGCCACTATCTCCCACTAGATCCCCCTAATGCCCTTATTATTAGCCTGTCCCCTTCCTGATTTGTCCTCCTTTTTATTATTGCTATTAATAATCCCAAGTCCATTTAGTGTAATCCTTATGCACGTGTGTGTGGAACTGTCCCCTAGGGTCATTCTTTCCTTTATATATATAGTCTACCATCATTGCTCAAGAGTCATAGCTTCTGGTATTCCCTTCCTAAAATTAGCTTACACTAGCTTCGAAGGGGAGGGTCTCATATTTAGATTGACCCCTTCCGTGCTCATGGATTTTTGTAGAAGTAAATGCTAACTCAGATCTATACTATATAAATGACATTTGTGAAGCCGCTGTAAACCTGGGATGCTGGCCTTTTCTATATCCCATAGCAAAACCCATCTGGCAATGGCTGGGATGGTCGGACTGCCCGTGGCTCTTCTGATTCTGGCAGTCTTTTTTCTCTATTGGCGTGGACGGAGGATTCAGAATAAAAGGGCAATGAGGCGCTACTTGGAACGGGGTGAGGTGAGCATTAGCTTAACTTTGGGGGATACCCTTAACGATCTACTCCTGGGAATAAGTGGTCGGATGGACGCACTTCTCTTCTCATTCCCTGGAATATAGTCCCTGTCTGTAAGAGGACAGTGTAGAGTCATGGATGCTTGCTCAGCGTGTGTGAAGACCTGTTCAATCTCAGAAACACATGTACATGTATGCACACACCAGTCCACACCAGAGGTGAGAACATGCATTCTCATCTTGCTTTTGCCATTTGCCATGACTCTGAAGAAACTGCTTTCCTTCTCTGTGCCTCAGTTTATGTAGCTTAAATATGAACAACATCATGTTTGTTGTTTATATCTGATGGGTAGATGTAAGGGCTGGTGGGGAGAGCTTTAGAAAGCTCACCAGACGTTTTGGTACATGGCGATAACTCCAGCACTTAGAAGGCTGAGGCAGTGTGAGCAAGTCTGACCTACACAGCAAGCCCTCATCTTAGTGAGGGGAGAGAGGGATAGACAAGAACCAGCCTCATGAGAGAGGTCTCCAAGGTGGAGTTCGACCGTATCTCCTCCCCTTGTGCTGCTCAGAGGGACACCAAGCCTTTTCATCAGCACAGCTTCCTCAGTCCTGTTCCTCAAAGGGCCTGTTGTTCCTCAATGAAACTACAATGCTTTCCAGGACTAAAGACCGACTCTCTTCCTGCCTTCGGCCCCGGGCTCTGCTGCCCTTGGCATCCATCTGTGGGGAGTAGGTGGGACTGGGCTTGTGGGAGTAGGCTTTTGTGACTGTCTCCTCCTCCTCCCTATCTGCTCCTCAGAGCATCGAGCCTCTGGACCCCAGCGAGAAGGCAAACAAAGTCTTGGCCAGAATTTTCAAAGAGACAGAGCTGAGGAAGCTTAAAGTGCTGGGCTCTGGTGTCTTTGGAACTGTGCACAAGGTGAGTGACTCCCGAAGTCTGGAGAAAATGGAGAATGGGAGAAGGATTCTGGCAAAAGATTGACGTGAAAAGAATGATTTTTTTTATGTCCACCCCAAACTTTCCAGGGGGTTTGGATCCCTGAGGGTGAATCCATTAAGATTCCAGTCTGCATTAAAGTCATAGAAGACAAGAGTGGGCGGCAGAGTTTTCAATCTGTGACTGACGTAAGTGAGGGAAGCAATTCTGAATGCCACTAGAAGTGTTGGATCCAGGCATGTAGACATACGATCTTGTATTGAACAGTGTGTGAGATCCATGTTAGGCTTGTAGTCGTATGATCTTGTGTTGCAGATAGTGTGTGAGATCCATGTTAGGTGTGCTGTACTTGAGAGTGAGAGGTATAGGGGAAATTGTGCCGTTTATCATTGCAGATTCAGGGAGGGCTCTCTGGATTGGGTAGATTAGGTATGCTTTTGTGGAGTGAATGTTTACCTGTTACTTCCTGGCTAATACCTCCTACATTTTGCAGCATATGCTGGCCATTGGTAGCCTAGACCACGCCCACATTGTACGTCTCCTGGGACTATGCCCAGGATCATCTCTGCAGCTTGTCACTCAATACTTGCCTCTGGGCTCCCTCCTTGATTATGTGAGACAGCACCGCGGATCACTGGGACCACAGCTGCTGCTCAACTGGGGAGTACAAATTGCCAAGGTGAGAGGAATCTGGAGGGGGCCTATGATAGCAGTCCTTTGACTGGGGAAAGCCAGGGCCTGAGGTCTGAGGACTCGGGGGTTTGGGCAGCTCCTGTTGCTCGTGACTGGCTCCCAACCCTGAGACTGCCCCCTTCTCTAGGGTATGTATTACCTCGAGGAACATAGCATGGTGCACCGGGACCTCGCTCTCCGGAATGTGCTGCTCAAGTCACCTAGTCAGGTCCAAGTAGCAGATTTTGGAGTGGCTGACCTTTTGCCACCAGAAGACAAGCAGTTACTACACAGTGAGGCCAAGGTAAGGTGACAAGGGAGGGGTGGTTAGGTGGGATGAGCATGGAATACAGAGTAAGGGGCTCTTTCTGAGATATGTAGGGGAGTCATGGTCAGTCTGAGGAGAGGGAGCTGAGAGTTTAAGTTCCGGAAACAAAGGATGAGAACTTGGGGTTTAAAGGCAATAAGGAATTTTGTGAAAATTAACTGATAGCACCTTTATCTTTAATCTTTAGACTCCAATTAAGTGGATGGCCCTTGAATGTATCCACTTTGGGAAATACACACACCAGAGTGATGTCTGGAGTTATGGTGAGCATACCTGGCTGCCCCCTATGTCGTTGCCATCTTTTGTGTGTCCTCTTCTTTTTTTTGGTTTTATGAGACAGGGTTTCTCTGTTTTAGAGGCTGTCGGTCCAGCCTGGCCTCAAACTCACAGAGATCCACCTGCCTCTGCCTCCCAAGTGCTGGGATTAAAGGCGTGCGCCACCAACGCCCGGCTGTGTGTCCTCTTCTTAGGAACTCTCTGCCTAACTAACTTCTGATCCTTGTATTAAAACAAAATCTACCTTCCCTTTACTATTTTTACATAACCAAATAGCCTGTTTCTGTTTTTCATACTAACTAGTTCATTTCTTTCTACGTCAGGCGTTACAGTTTGGGAGTTGATGACTTTCGGGGCTGAGCCCTATGCTGGACTGAGACTGGCTGAGATACCAGACCTGCTGGAGAAGGGAGAGCGGTTAGCACAGCCCCAGATCTGCACCATTGACGTCTACATGGTCATGGTCAAGTGTGAGTTGCTTACGACCCCTGCCTTTTCTAGCTCACAGACTGCCTTCCTTTCTCCTCCATGACTCTCTTCTCTCCTGGTACTACCCCTCCGTCTCACCCCAGGTTGGATGATTGATGAGAATATCCGCCCGACCTTTAAAGAACTAGCCAATGAGTTCACCAGGATGGCCCGTGACCCACCTCGGTATCTGGTCATAAAGGTGAGTGGGGGCTTGAGGGTGTCGAGTTGTTTAGAGGGAGGACCTAGTTGGAACTAGAATCCGTCTGATGGCTGTCTCCTCCTGTAGAGGGAGAGTGGGCCTGGGATGCCTCCGGGGGCAGAGCCCTCTGCCCTGACCAACAAAGAGCTGGGGGAAGTAGAGCTGGAGCCTGAGCTGGACCTGGACCTGGACCTGGAGGCCGAGGAGGACAGCCTGGCGACCACACTGGGTTCTGCCCTCAGCTTACCGCTGGGAACGCTCACCCGGCCGCGTGGGGTAGGACACCTCCTAATTGCATATGAACCCTCATAAGCCCACTTAAGGCCTCCATGCTAATAGAGTTCTTCCTTCATTTTAACCCTCTCCTTTCTTATCCTAGAGCCAGAGTCTTTTAAGCCCCTCCTCTGGATACATGCCCATGAACCAGAGTAATCTCGGGGAGGCTTGTCTGGTGAGTCTGATGCTGGAGGCTTGATAAGAGATATGGAGGGAGACGATTCAAATCTTGAAGGTTTAACTAACACCCTGCAATACAGAAAGCCTTGGACAACCACACCTCCTTCTAAATCTGTTTAACTGTCCTTGTATCATTGCCTGTTATTTTCCTCCTAGGATTCTGCAGTTCTGGGGAGTAGTGAACAGTGTCCCCGTCCCATCTCTCTGCATCCAATTCCTCGGGGACGTCTGGCCTCAGAGTCATCGGAGGGTCATGTGACAGGCTCTGAGGCTGAACTCCAAGAGAAAGTGTCAGTCTGTCGGAGCCGGAGCCGGAGCCCTCGGCCACGTGGAGACAGTGCCTACCATTCACAGCGACACAGCCTGCTTACTCCTGTCACCCCGCTCTCCCCACCTGGGTTGGAGGAAGAGGATGTCAATGGCTATGTCATGCCAGATACACACCTCAAAGGTACCTGGCTTTTCCTCCAGCCTTGCTCTCACACCTAATCTTTTCTCCAGGCTCCCTTCTATTCTTTCATATTCTCTGAGGTCTCCTAGTCATTTGTTTTCTAACTCACCCCCATTCCTGGTTATTTCTCTGAAGTTCTATACATGCTTGTAATTTTTGTCAACTGCAGGTACATCCTCCTCCCGGGAAGGTACCCTTTCTTCTTCGGTAGGTCTCAGCTCTGTGCTGGGTACTGAAGAAGAAGACGAGGATGAGGAGTATGAATACATGAACCGGAAGAGAAGGAACAGTCCACCTCGGCCCCCTAGGCCTGGTTCCCTTGAAGAGCTGGGTTATGAGTACATGGATGTGGCCTCAGACCTCAGTGCCTCTCTGGGCAGTACGCAGAGTTGCCCACTCCATCCTGTGGCCATTGTGCCCTCTGCTGGCACAACTCCAGATGAGGATTATGAATATATGAACCGCAGGCGTGGTGTAGGTGGTGGCGGGGGCGATTATGCAACCATGGGGGCCTGCCCTGCAGCTGAACAAGGGTATGAAGAAATGCGAGCTTTCCAGGGGCCTGGACATCATGCCCCCCATGTTCGTTATGCCCGCCTCAAAACTCTGCGTAGTTTAGAAGCCACTGACTCTGCCTTTGACAACCCTGATTACTGGCATAGCAGGCTTTTTCCCAAGGCGAATGCCCAGAGAACTTAACCTCTGCTCCTTGAGACTCTCAGGGAGCATTTGTTGGCAGCTAGTGCCTCTTGAGGGTACCCCTTGTTCACCCCTTCCCTCAGGCCCACCCACATTTCTCCAGTGCTAGACATTGCCGTCCAGTCTTTGGAGACTTGTAAACATATCCTCACAGAATTTTTGTGGTACGTACCCAGATGTGCACTTTCTTCTCTTCCCTAACCCAGGAGAAGAGAAGGTTTTCCTGCTTGTCTACTTTCCCAGTGCCATTCCTCGGCTTCCTCAGGGAGACTCCCTGGAGATATGAAGGATTGCTCTTGAAGCCCTTTTCTCTCAGGCTCTCACTTGTTAGGATTGGACTTTGCCTTTGTTTCCCTTCAGACTTTCCTAAGGAAGAGGAGATGAAGTAGAGCTGGAGGAGGAAAGTAAAACGTTGGCTCACGAGACTCTTAATCCCATGGAGAGATTGAGAAGCTTAAAATGTGTGGAGTAAAGAAAGTTAGGCATAGATACCAGTAACTATGAATTGAACATTTACTATGACGCAGGCACCATCAAGCTGAACTCTGCCTGCATTATCTCAATTACAGTCTCTACAGTTTTGTGAGGTGGAGCTGATTCCATTTTACCAATACAGGAGTCCTCCTGAGTGTTCCAAAATAGCCAATATGTCTCTGAGTCTGTGGATAGTACTGAATCCTGTAGTTTTTGTTTGGTTTGGTTTTTGGTTTTTTCGAGACAGGGTTTCTCTGTGTTGTCCTGGCTGACCTGGAACTTGATCTGTAGACCATACTGGCCTTGAGTTCAGAGATCCCCTCTGCCTCTACTTCCTGAATGCTGGGACTAAAGGTTTGTGCCACCATCACATAGCCTATAGTTCTTAAAAAAAGTACTTTAGTTGGTTTACAAAACTGAATGTTATAGCTTAGTGCCTCTTCCGTCTTACCTAAGGACTTATAATTCTTTACGGCCCTAATTTTTTTACTTTGAAGTGCCACAGCAAAAGTAGTACTAATTTGTCCATCTTGATAATTTCATGGATTTGTTATTATAGCTCTTACCATATGCCTTTCCTCCAGTATGAAGTCAAGAACTTTCACCTTTTCTCAAAAAAGAAAAAAGAAAAAAAAAACACTTCTCTTTGGCATGTGAATTGCCAGCATCACTACTCTTGCATTCTGGGCCCATTTCTGGGTAAAATAAGGGTATTTGAACACAAGTACTGTGATATCACTGTTGGTCAGTCTAATAACAGGCGGGTCATGAAGTGACTAAGGTTATTTGGTGTGGATGCACTAGGCAGAGACCATTTGTCTACCAGGTGGCGCAGAAAAGAATAGTTGTAGTTTCATCATGCTATTCAGAATGGTGTGCAATTAAAACTTTAGGGACTATTTATTTCAGGAACCTGTCATTCAATACTTTCAGATTGTAGTTGATCATGGGTTATTAAAACTGTGGACAGCAAAACCTCAGAAGATAATGGGGGACTGAGCCTTGAAGAAATTAAGCACCAGGTCTAGAATTCAAAATCTTCACAATTCCAATGCCTGTACTTTTACTACAAAGTGCCAAGGAGTACCTGTGTCAAGCCCTTGTAAGGTATGTGTGTGTGTGTGTGTGTGTGAGAGAGAGAGAGAGAGAGACAGACAGACAGACAGACAGACAGACAGACAGAAAGAAACAGGGTCTCACTCTGCAGACTGGCCTGGAACTGTGCAGCCCAGGATGATGGCCTTGAACTCAACTCACAGTAATCCTGTCTCAGCCTCCCAAAGGCTGTGACTGCAAGTGTGAACTTCCTGGCAGACTCCTTGTTTGTGCACTCAATCAAGCAGATGCCAAGGGCCACAGTTCCCTCCAGCACGAAGGCTTCTTGTCTCAGGAAGGAGTGAAGACGACACAGAAGGACAAATACCTGGGCATTTTTGTGGAAGCCACAGCCCACATAGTTGTGGATGACATACACTCCTTACAGCCAATTCACGAAGGTTCCAATGTTCATATTTTAGGAACTATTCTTAACCAATAAAGAGAAACTTCTTGTGGGATAGAAAGAGGATCCATCTTCAGACCTCAGTTTTCCTGGATGGGACCTGGGGAAAAATGTCTTGTACCATTAAAGTTTTTTGTTTTGTTTTTATACATGTCTGAATAAAGATGCCAAAGATTCTTTGGATTTTTGTCAACTGAAGAGTACTTGAGACCATGCCTTCCCTTTGTTTCTTAGCAATTGGAGGCTTCCTCTGTTCCTGACCTTCCCACTTTTATTTAAATGCTTTAAAGGTTTTTAGTTATGGGTATTGTGAGGAAGTTGAGGCTGGCAATGGTGAGTGCAGTGCCCACGTTACAAGCTGCTTGGCATGGGAACTCCCTCCCTCCACAGGAGTACCCGGTTACAGCCACTGAGTCGTTTTCTCCAGACCCTGTTTCTAGTCCTTTTTATTAGCCAGTTTTACGGGGAGTCGCTACAAAGTAGCAAGTGTAAACAAGAAAAGTCAAAGCGCTTGCTTGGGAAAAGGGAAAAACCTCAAAGCCGTGGGCTTTGTTTTTTCCTACACAGGTGGAATACTGAAAGCCTGAAATGATTCATAACTCTCTTTACAGTGACCAAATACCTCCTAAGCATTTCCCTTAGATGCTCCCATCAAAACCTACCGCTGGAACAATAGTGCCATTTTACTCTAGTATAGTAGCAAGTTTGGCCTTATTATATTAGCAGGTCATAGTAAATGAATAATGTCTCGAACTGTCTAGTTAGTCTGTCCAGTTAGTCCCGCGCTCCCAGCACCGCCTCCGCTCAGCCCCTTCCTGTTTTCCCAGCAGAAGAGGACTGGACCAGCCAGGCCGGTCACGCTTGTCTACCCGGGAATCCGAGGCTACCCTAGCACAGGATAACCGCCCTAGGTGAACCAACAGTGACCCTGGTCCTCTAGCTCCACCCTGCTCCACCCTGCTCCACCCTGCTCCACCCTGCTCAGTGGCCTCTAAACCCTTTTTTCCGCGTAGCTCCGCCCCACTTCGCTTAGCCCGCCCCCCTCTGTTACGAGTTCGAGCTCTGGTGAGTGAGGTTTTTCCCGGAGAGACCACGCTTTCCCTCAAGCTCTCCAACGGCTCCGCCTTCCCGCCGGAGCCAGGCCCTTCCCAGCGTGCCCGGCGATTCCGGCGTGCGCAGACCTGGGAGGGCAAGGCCCCAGGGCCTGGCGGCGGGTCGCGAGGAGCAGGCTGGGAATTGTAGTTCCCGAGCACACGAGGGCGGCTGAAGGCTGGACGCCGGCCGGACTCATTGTCCCAGTGTGCCCTGCGCCTTAGCCCGCGCGCTCGCAGCTTCTCGCTCTCTGCGCCCGCCCTCCCGCTCCCTTGCTTGCTCGCGCTTTCCTCGCGGATCGAAGAGACTCTGGCTACAGCTTGTGGCTGGAAGGGAGACTGAGGCCGCAGCTCAGGGAAAGTGAAGCTGCAGTAGTGGTGGTAGGAAGATGTCGGGCGAAGACGAGCAGCAGGAGCAAACTATCGCCGAGGACCTGGTCGTGACCAAGTATAAGATGGGGGGCGACATCGCCAACCGTGAGTGCGGCCTCGGGGGTCTTGGAATCGAGGCTGAGAGGGAGAGGTTTGGGGCTGTCTCCGGAGGGGCTGGAGCGGCTGGGTCTTGCGGAGTGAGCCACCGAGGGGCGCGTGCCGACGGCCGGGGGCGACGTGGTGGGGAGATCTGGTGTCGCCTCGGGAACTGAGCAGCCATGCCTGGGCTGGAGAGAGTGGAGGTGCGGGCCGGCGACCGCGAGGAGCGCAGAGAGGGGCCCAGACATGCTCCGACCCTAGGCGGTTGGTAAGGAGGCAAGGCGCGTCGTCTTCTGCCCGTCACCCTTCGGTCTGTCCGGATCTCTGCTTCCTCCGACTGGCAGCTGTGAGGCCACCTCGGAAAGGGTGCTGCTCCCAGCTGTTGGCGACAGAAAGCGCCCCTCTGGCAGTCGCGGGTCCTGACCCGTAGGAGCCAGGCCGGCACGTGTTGCCAGGTCCCAGTGCGGATCGCTGGCTCCCCACTTCCTCCACTACCGTGCTTCCCCACCACGTGCTTCAGAAAAGTCTCTACTTCAGGTCCTCCTGGTGGGGGCCCCCTTCTCCCCTGACCTAGCTCGAGGGACTGTTGCGGGGCACGTCGGCAGCTTCTCGGTTTTCTGGACCAGATTACTGACTGCTGCCCCAGCCTGTGAGATGGCCTTGAATATTTGTTCTTAGAGGCTTGACAGTGTTCTGAGGTCCTGCTTAGAGCACAGCTAGGCAAGCCTGTCAATAATGCTGGGAAGGGGCGGAGAGGAACACTGAATTTTAGGGGTATCATAAGCATTTCTTGCTCATTCTTAACAGTTGTCTGCCACTTGGGCAGATAACTTTCTCTTTCCAAGTCATGGCCGTCCCGTCCCCCGCCCCCCCCCCCATAGTTTCTGTGAGCTCTGGATGTCCTGGTACTCCTGTAGACCAGGCTGGCCTCAAAGATCCGCCTATATCTGCTTCCCAAGTGCTGGGATTAAAGGCGTGTGCCACCACACCACACCCGGCTCTTTCCATTTTTAAAAGCCTCTTAATGGGGATAGAAAGATAGAAATGGTCTTGACAAAATTGGAGAAGGTATTTAGGATGCCTTTGGTTAAACCCGAGTATTTTCTGGACTCCAAAGAATAGCCAAAACACAAAAGAAATCAAGCCTTGAATTCCCATGGATCATAGAGAGGACATATACAAAATAATATCCCTATCTGGGGTGGTTTTAGTATTTGATATTATTGGTTTCAATCAGACAAAATTTCTATCTGTATAGGCAATTGTGACTTTAGATAATTTTGAAACTGATCACATGTTTCCTCGATCTACTCAAAGTAAATCTTTAGTCCCCTGAATCTTTGTGAGACCTTAGATTAATTCCCCTGGGCTTATATACTTGCATATGGGGAAATGCGCCTACATAAATTGTGGTTACTCCTAATTAGAGAGTCTAGGGAAGAAGGTAACATTTAACAATGCTTCAACTTTGACTCAGCAACTCTATGTGTACCTTCCCCTTGTCCCTGATGCCTATAAATTTCTCCTGCTCTGCCTGTGCATATGGGGTGTCTTGGACACATTTCCCTAACGTTCATGATTCTGTATACCATAACATCTTTGGAAGGCGCAAGGCTCTGTCTATCCAGGTGTCACACAATTTAAAGGAGAGAAATAAGCGTTGGCCTTTTTTATTTTAGGAAGGTAGAAAGTAAGACTGGGTATGATTTTGTTTTGTTTTGGGGGGGGATACAAAGGCAGGCAGATCTCTGAGTTCCAGGCCAGCCTGGTGTACATAGTTCTAGGACAGTCAGGGGTGTCTCAAAAAAGCAAAATAAGCTTAAAGGTGGATAGATTGTACCGGGGCACAAAATTTGTTTCCTCTTTCTGCCTTAAGACAATGGCACTAGGAAGTATTAGAAAATGAATTCACCTTCACATCTAATTAGACAGTGAATGCGTGCAGGACTGACCTGATGGGATTCTGTCCCCAGGGGTACTTCGCTCTTTGGTGGAAGCTTCCAGCTCAGGTGTGTCGGTGCTGAGCCTGTGTGAGAAAGGTGATGCCATGATAATGGAAGAGACAGGGAAAATCTTCAAGAAGGAAAAGGAAATGAAGAAAGGTAAAGGGGGAAGAATCTTCTTCATTTTTCCCATTTGACCCTATCCATCCAGGGCTCCCCGCCCCCCATTGTAAAGTCCAGGCCATCTCTGATTAAAATTTTTGGAAATCTGGAGTAGCAGGTGGGATGGGTGTGGTTTCCTTTCCCGATCTAAACTGAGTAAAGTTTAAGCAAGTCCCTGAAACAGAAGCCCCTTCGATTTTCTCAAGGGCAACAAGTGCTGCCACGGCAGAGCAAGGCAGTAAGGCTGATGGTTCTTTTTACAGGTATTGCCTTTCCTACCAGCATTTCCGTAAATAACTGTGTATGTCACTTCTCCCCTTTGAAGAGTGACCAGGACTATATACTCAAGGAAGGTGACTTGGTAAAAATGTAAGGTTAAGCTATTCTGGAGTATTTGTCATTTTCCTACACCTTTAAGCAGTGTTGGTTCCTAATGAAATGTTCTATCCTTGCCTTTCAGTGACCTTGGAGTCCATGTGGATGGCTTCATTGCTAATGTGGCTCACACTTTTGTCATTGGTGTGGCTCAGGTGGGTAGCATACCTTTTTAGTGTTAGTTAGATGTGCTCCACTCTGTATTACCACGTAGTCTTAGAGTATCCAGAGAAACAAAAAGAAACCACTTTCTGGTGGTGTTGTGTGATTGGCTGCCCTCATGAATATAGTGAGCTTTCCAGGTGATACTGATCATATTTCTCCACAGGGGACCCAGGTAACAGGCCGGAAAGCAGATGTCATTAAGGCAGCTCATCTTTGTGCTGAAGCTGCCTTACGACTGGTCAAACCCGGAAACCAGGTAAGGTGCTTCCTTCCTGTTGCAAAGATGAATCAGGCACCCGGAACAGCAGGTAGCTAAGTGTCCACCACAGTACTTGCAAGGTGTAGGGATGTGACTTCTTACATAAAGGCCATTTTTAGAGTTTGTATGTGTACTTTAATCTCAAAATAATTTGGGGTAGGTAACTAACAATGAAACAAGTTTCTCTTTTTTTTCCCCTAGAGACAGGGTTTCTCTGGCTTTGGAGGCTGTCCTGGAACTAGCTCTTGTAGACCAGGCTGCCCTCAAACTCACAGAGATCCACCTGCCTCCGCCTTCCGAGTGCTGGGATTAAAGGTGTACGTCACCAATGCCCCCACTGTAACAAGTTTTTAAAAACTGTACGTGAAAAGGACAGAAAAAGTGCTGGCAAATTCATACCTAAGAGACCAGGATTCACCTGTAGTTTAGAGGGGGTCGTATCAGAAGCCTAGATCTGGTGGAGTTCTTATGAGCTAGTGTTAATTGTGTTAGATTGTTGGTGAACATTATCTCAGAACTTAACGACATTGTTTTTTGTGTGCTCTTTTGTTTCTCACAATTGTATTCAGCTCGTATTTAATCTTCATAATTACTTAACTTGCATACTTTTTACTTAAAATTCTGCTTTTGTTTCCTTATAGAGTTGTTTTCAAGCCCTTTGAGCAGTGCCTAGCCTATAGTAAATTCTTAAATTAGTTGTTACTATTATTTTATACACTTGTTATTCTTACTGGTTAGTCTATAGCTATGGACTCATGCAATCTATGCATTTTATTTACTTAATTGCATTTCAAGACAGGGTAGGGTTTTTCTGTGTAGCCTTGGGTGTCCTGGAATTCACTCTGTGACCAGTCTGGCCTCAAACTCAGAGATCTGCCTGCCTTTCCCTGCCAAGTGCTGGGATTAAAGGTGTGTGCCACCCTGCACATTTAACTTTTAAAAAAGTCATCCCACCCCAACCCTCATGCACTGATTCTGTCCTCCTCCCCTGAGATTACAGGTGTGTGCCTCCACACTTCAAGAGTAATCTTGAGCCGGGCGTTGGTGGCGCACGCCTTTAATCCCAGCACTCGGGAGGCAGAGGCAGGCGGATCTCTGTGAGTTCGAGGCCAGCCTGGTCTACAAGAGCTAGTTCCAGGACAGCCTCCAAAGCCACAGAGAAACCCTGTCTCGAAAAACCAAAAAAAAAAAAAAGTAATTTTGAGCTCAGATTTCCTTGAAGTAGAAAAAGTGAAATTGAACCATGGCTCTTGTGTCAGAGGGACTAAGTTAGTGTCTTGGGTGAAGAGGAATATTAGGACCAGAAAAGGACTCTTGTTGCCCAGCCTGCTGACTGTTGATCCCTAGGACCTACCTGACAGAAAGTGAGAACAGACTCCTTTTGTGTATTTGGAAACAGGCTGGCCTTGAACTCAGATCCTCCTGTCTGACTCCCAAGTCTGGGATTAAAGGTGTGTGCTACCATGGCTGGCACAGAATTTAGTTTTTTGAGACAGGGTTTCTCTGTGTAGCCCTGGCTATCCTGGAACTCACTCTGTAGATCACAGCCTGGCTGTATTTTTACAATACATGTTTTAGTCTGTAGGAATGATAAGATTGTGAATGAGAATCACTGGCCCTTGGTGAGGGGGATGTCAGAAAATCTGTCACGAGAGTAAGTTGGAAAGAGCAGGTATCTCAACTTTTGTTTGCTCTTGTACTTCTAGAACACACAAGTGACAGAAGCCTGGAACAAAGTTGCTCACTCATTTAATTGCACACCAATAGAAGGTGAGACTTCAGATAATGGGGTTAAAGGTCTGACATGAGTGATGTGGTATTATTAAGGATCCTTCCTGGCTCCAGCTTGAAGGCAGAAACCTCTCTGCAAGTTTCCGTAGCCAGGCATGATGGCGCCGTCAGACTAGATTTAGAAGCTGTTAGGGAGCCATATAGCTGGTGCCATGGGCTTTCTCCTGTCTGCAGGTATGCTTTCTCACCAGTTGAAGCAGCATGTGATTGACGGAGAGAAAACGATTATCCAGAATCCTACAGACCAGCAGAAGTAGGTGCCAACCCCATTCCTTCCTTTCACGGTGCTGCAGTAGCTGTCAGGGTTATTGTCCTTTTTGTCCATGTCCATACTTTGGTCATGGTTACCTTCTCCAAACTACTAGAGCTTACTTATCAGGTTGTTTTGTGTGTTGTTGTTGGGAGTTTTGTTTGTTTCTCAGTGTAACAGTGCTGTTTGTCCTGGAACTCAAAAGCTCTGTAGATCCACCTGTCTCTGCCTCCCAGGTGCTGGGATTAAAGGCGTGCTCCAACACCGCCTTGCCTTTTTTTTTTTCCCACCTTAATTTCATCTGTCTAAACGTCCAAACATGTGAGTGCATGTACCTTAGAAGCCAGAGGCATCAATCCCTTTGGTGCTAGTTTGGGTGCTGAGAATCAAACTCGGGTCCTAAGGAGCAGTATGTGCTCTTGATTACTGAGCCATCCTTCTGGGTAGTTGTCACTGTGTGGTCCTGACTAGCCTAGAACTTGCACTGATTCTTCTGCCTCCTGATGCTGAGATCATAGGCTGGCACCCTTATGTCTGTGCTTGGCTTACTCTTAGGGTTCCCTCTATCCTTTTAGGAAGGACCATGAGAAGGCTGAGTTTGAAGTACATGAAGTTTATGCTGTGGATGTCCTCGTCAGCTCAGGAGAAGGCAAGGTAAGAATTCCATAATTAGCAAAAGGGGTAACTTGAAGGTGTGTTCATCAGACCATATTTGACCTAACTTAACTCTCTTAGGCCAAAGATGCAGGACAGAGAACCACCATTTACAAACGAGACCCCTCTAAACAATACGGCCTGAAAATGAAAACTTCACGTGCCTTTTTCAGTGAGGTGGAAAGGCGTTTTGATGCCATGCCATTTACTTTAAGGTACTGCATATAGCAAGAACAGGACTGGGAACCAGTCTGACTCAAGTTTGTATACCCAGAAGCATCCTCCCTTCCCTTGGCCCTCCCTCCCTCCCCCTCTCTCTCCTGCCCAGACTTGTAGCTCCTGCCTGAATGCACGTCCTCTGTCCTGCCCATCTCCTTGCTGGATAGAATATAGACCAACCCCAGACAGTTTCTTTTTGCATGAGGATAGCGGTGGTTTAAAAACATGCATGACTGAGTGTGGTGGCAAATGCTTGTGATGCCAACACTCCAGAGGCTGAGGCAGAAGAGTTTTCAGTTAGCCTGAGGTAACTGAAATTGCTTTAAACAACAGGACCAGTTGCTTGTGCAGTTGCAGGTCAAGAGCTATGCGAGACTGCTAACCTAATTCAGGCCGGAACAAACCAACTTCAGAAAGTTGTCCTCTGGCTTGCACACCATGCCCTGCCCTTCAGCTCCCATCATACCTGCAATCACGCTAATAAGTGGTAACCGCATGGTAGGTTGTCAAGGAGACCTGAATGTGCCTCTCTTCCCAGAGCGTTTGAAGACGAGAAGAAGGCTCGAATGGGTGTAGTAGAGTGTGCCAAACATGAGCTGCTGCAGCCGTTTAATGTTCTCTATGAGAAGGAGGGTGAGTCAGTCCTAAGAAGAGCTTCACTTGACGCCCACCACACCTCCCTGCCCGCAACTTCACAACACAGGTGTGACTGGAACTTGTCTTCCCGTAGGTGAATTTGTTGCCCAGTTTAAATTTACAGTCCTACTTATGCCCAATGGCCCCATGCGGATAACCAGTGGTCCCTTTGAGCCCGACCTCTACAAGTCTGAGATGGAAGTCCAGGACGCAGAGCTAAAGGTTAGTTTTTGATGAAAACCGTGAACATGGGGCACTTACTTAGCTGTGAAAAGTCCTGAAAGGAATTGCCACAGTAGGTGGAGAGTTTTGTTTATCCACCCCACAGTTCTCAGGGTTTGCCTTCTTCTGTCTTCTAGGCTCTTCTCCAGAGTTCTGCAAGTCGAAAAACCCAGAAAAAGAAGAAAAAGAAGGTGTGTGAAGGGAAATGTCTGATAATGGTGGGGTATGAGCTTACCCTTCTGCTTCAGGATAGATACTTTGGGAGTAGTTGGGAATTGATGTCTTTCTTTTCTTGTTGTGGAATGTAGGCCTCCAAGACTGCAGAGAATGCCACCAGTGGAGAGACTTTAGAAGAGAATGAAGCTGGGGACTGAGGTGGGTCCCTGCTGCAGCTTGTCATTCCTGCCTCATCCCCTCCCACTCCCCAGGCTCTGAAGTGCAGTTGTCTTCTCCACCAAGACCACCAGCAGAGCGAGCGGGTCTTCTCCCTCACCCCAGTTCCCATACCCACTCACCCATCCACTCTTCCCAACAAAAAACCAGCTCCAGTTGACTCTGGTCTTGGGAGGCCAGGCTTCCTGGCTGGCCACTGAAGACTACTTTCAGTAGAAAAAGAAATTGAATAATAAAATCAGGAGTCAAAACCCATCGTCTTCAAGCCCCTCTTTCTGGCCTTTTCTACTCTGCTTGGTCAAGGTTTGTGGCCTACAACAGAACAAAGGAGGCTAAGTTAGCCGCCACCACTAAAACCTCAGCTGAAATTTTTTATGTCACTGATGTCATTTTCTCCTTTTGGGGGCTTTTCTGTTTCCCACTGTCACTGAGTATTTAATCTGCCTTCAAGGTGGAGGACTGGTTGTATTTTTTATTCACCTGTGGCAGATCCCTCATGATAAAGGGTATCTTGTTAGACCCTTCCCATTTTAGATGCTGAAGTTTCTTATCTCTCTTTAGTCATTTTTGTTTTACAGAGTCCCTACATCTACCCGTTTATTTTTCACCGTTGTAAAGCAGTCAGAGTCCCCACCATGTTGTTGGTTTTGTCCCCCCACACCCAACCAGTGGGTTTTCTTTCCTCAGGATCCACCTTAGAACCTTTATTGAAAATCCCACTGGGAGTTTTTTGTTCCGGATTTGATTTTTTTTTTCTTCCCTTTTTTGGTTTGAGACAGAGTCTCACTATGTAGCTCTGGCTGTCCTGGAACTCTCACTATGTAGACCAGGCTGGCCTTGAACTCAAGATCCACCTGCCTCTGCTTCCTGAGCACTGGAACCAAAGGCGTGCGCCACCACGCCCAGCTTCCTGTTTGAAATATTTTGAGTTCCCTTCCAAGAAAGAAAAACCAGGAACCAGAGGAGTAGACTGAAAAGAACTGACTTTCAGACTGTGGACTTGGATGACTCCTGGGGTTTTGTAGAGAAAGGATAAAATTTGTACCTCTGGCATGCTGTTCCAGGGAACCAAGGCTTCCACTAACTTAAGCGGTTTTTGAATTGACATGGCATTAAAATAAATTTGGATTTGCTCATAATGTAATGCATTTGTTCTTTTTCTTTGTGGCAGTGGTGTGTATGAAACAATTTCTCTATAGTTTCTCTGTAGCCCTGGCTATTCCTGGAAAACTGCAGACCAGGCTGGCCTTGAAGGCAAACCTCCCTGCTTCTGCCTCCTAGTAGAACTAAATGTATTCACCACCACTGTACAGCTGAGCTACCTCTTATCTGTCCCTTACCTCACTCAAGGAAATGATCAATTGATGGACTGTCCCGTTAAGAAGTTAACATCTTGGCATCTGTGTTTTGGGGCAATTTTCTCTGTAGCCCTGGCTGTCCTGTAACTCTGTGTAGACCAGTCTGGCTATTAATTTTCAGATCCTTCTGCCTCCCAAGTGCTAGAGTTAAAGTCATACCTAGTTTTAGAATCTCAAAATGACTACTGAATCTGGAATTTTGGTAATTTAAAGTATGCAAGCATTGTTTTGTTAGGACTGGGACACTTACGGTGTGCTGACAAAAGCAACATAGCAAATTTGCCTTAGTTCGTGTCAAGCATGCCTCATTTATTCAGTGCTGGGGGGTTTGTGTGTGCACTCAACCATCTGAACTCCATCCCTAGTCACCCAAAATCTGTTGGATAAGTTTTCAGTGCCAAGTTGTGGTCTTGAGTAATGTTGCTATATATGAAGCACTGCTGAACTATGAATGCTTGGGTGAGCAAAAAGCTGAAGGATGAATATGTACATCCTCTGATACAAAGTACAGAAGTTTGGTTTGGTTTTCCTGGGCTCTCTATGAGTTAATGTTCTTAAACTCATGGTGGTAATCCTGCCTGAGCTAGTGTTCTCAGTGTGCCACGTCTGATTGGCTGGTGGTAGATATGCTTATTGAGAGTATGTGGGGACAGGGTATGTAGAAAAGTCTTAAGTTTTTCTGCAAACCTAAAACCATTATAAATATGAGCTATATAAACTGGTAATAAAGATTTATGTTTTTTTCTTATTTTGAGACTAGCTCAGGCTGTAAAATCATTGTTAAGAGTTTTTAGAAACTAGCTCAAGCTGGGATTGTAGCTCACTTGATAGTGCTTAATTAATTTTGCAAGATCCTATCTCAAAATTTGAAGGGCTACACTGGGTTGTGATGCCTACATTAATACCAACACTCTGGAGGCAAAGGCAGGCAGATCTCTTGAGTTCCAAGACAGAGGGCCTATCTGTTGACCAGTGTCTAAAAAAGGAAATTTGAAAGTGCTAAAAATGGGACTGGGTCAGTTAACATTTCAAACCCAGCAGTTTGTCCTGACTTTTGTGTTTTGTTTTTGAGAATATTGTTATAAAAAAAGCTCTGGAAGGCACTATGTAGACCTGGTGACCTCAAACTCACAGGTCTACCAAGAGCCAGGTTCATAAACCACCATGTGTGGTCACAATGAGGAAATGTTCAGGAAACTACTGGAAAGGATTATAGTTTACATACAGATAAAAATCTCTAAGTATTGAGCCAGGTGTGGCTTTATACACTTAATTCCAGAGGCCAATGTCTGAGTCTGGTTATTGTCATCTATGGATCCTGGCTGACCAAAGCTACAACACAGACCATGTCAAGACCGGGCTTCTCTGTATTGTTTTGGAGGCTGTCCTGGAACTCGCTCGGTAGACCAGGCTGGCCTCAAACTCACAGAGATCCGACTACCTCTGCCTCCCAAGTGCTGGGATTAAAGGCTTGCGCCACCAACGCCCGGCTCTGTGAAATATTTTAACAAGATGAAGTCTTCTATAGTTGTTTCTGAGGTTTTCTCTTTTTTAAGTTTATTATGTATACAGTGTTATGCCTGCATGTATGCCTGCATGCCAGAAGAGGTCACCAGATCTAATTACAGATGGTTGTGAGCCACCACGTCGTTGCTGGGAATTGAACTCAAGACCTCTGGAAGAGCACCAATGCTTTTTAACCTCTGAGCCATCTCTCCAGGCCCCTGTTTCTGATTTTTTTTATTATCATTTTTTATTTTAATTTTAAATAGCTTGTTTTACATGTCAATCCCAGTTCCCTCTCCCTCCCCTCCTCCTGCACTCCCCTTTCCCCCCACCCTCCCACCCTATTGCCAAATCCTTCCACATAGGGGATATCTAGAGTCTGATTTTTTTTTTTAATGCATACTGGCTCTGAACTTTCTATGTATGGAAAGCTAGCATAGAATTTATGAGCCTTCTGCTTCAGCCTTCTAAGTGCCAGACAGGCACGTGCTACTATGCCTGCTCTCCCTTTCTTTGGAATTCAAGACATACCCCACTACACCTGGCCTTTTCTCCCTTTTCTTTTTAAATCCTTAACTCTCCCATAGTTTTGTTTTTTGGTTGTTGCCTATCCTGAGACAGGGTTTCTCTGTGTAACAAGCCCTGGTTGTCCTGAAACTTACATTGTAGACCAGGCTGGCTTTGAACTCACTAAGATCTGCCTGCCTCTGCCTCCCTAATGCTGTGATTAAGGTGTGCACCACCATTGCTTGGCTGGGAAAATGTACCTTCCAGAGCTAATCCAGATTAAATCTGGATGACAGTTTCTGCCAGAATCCCATGTAAGGACATGAAGGAAGCTTTGCCAGCTTGCCTGTGCCTAAGCAAGCTCATTCCTGCACAAGCATTCGAGCTGACTTCTTCAGGGTTCCAGCATAAGCTGAAAGAGCAGCTGAGATTTGCAGCCTCCTGGACTGAGCAACTACTGGACTCTTGAACCTTTCTATTCATAGCCAGCCAGAGTTGGATTAGCCAGACTGCAGCCTGTAAATCATTCTAACAAATCACCTTTCTATATATAGAAATATTCATTCTAGGGGCCTGGAGAGATGGCTCAGAAGTTAAAAGCATTGGCTGCTCTTCCAGAGGTCCTGAGTTCAATTCCCAGCAACCACATGGTGGCTCACAACCATCTGTAATGAGATATGGTGCCCTCTTCTGGCATGTAAGCAGAACACTATAATATAAATAAAATATTAAAAAAAAAAGAAATATTCATTCTAAAAATCCTGTTGTCTTTGAAAACCCTAATGTATTCCTGTAAAAGAGTTAAAGGACTCATCTAGACCAGGAGTGGTGCACGCCTTTAATCCCAGCACTGGAGGGGCAGAGGCAGCCTGGACTACACAGTGAATTCCAGAACAGCCAGGGCAACACAGAGAAACCCTGAGATCCTCTCAAAAACAAAGCAGTAGTGACAGGTGTGGTCCAGAGGTCCTGAGTTCATACCCAGCACTCATGCTGGGCAGCTCACTGCTTGTGAAGATGGCTTCAGGGGATTCAAACGCCCCTTCTGGCCTCACCTGGCCCCTGCACACACAAACAGACACAAATTGAAACACAAAAACTCCTAGGTATAGTGACTTAATGTCAAAGCACCACGATGATTTGTAGCAGGGAAGATTTCTCAACACGCCATTTTACATCCTCCCATTTCCTTTTTTTTTTTTTTTTTTTTTTTTTGAGGGGTCTGTTTTGTTTTTTGATACAGGGTTTCTCTGTGTAACAGTTCTGGCTGACGTGGAACTCACTCTTAGACCAGGCTGGCCTTGAAGGAAGAGATCAGCTTGCCTCTGCTCCAGAGTGCTGGGATTAAAGGTGTGCGATACCTGTGTTCAATTGTTTCTAAAATCTCTAGGATTTCGGAGATCAACTATTTACACAGGAGTTTAACTGGGGGTGGGGGGTTCTGGAGCAGTTAAACCAAAATGACATTATAATTTATTTACTTGAGCTGGGCGTTGGTGGCACACACCTTTAATCCCAGCACTCTCGGGTGGCAGAGTCAGGTGGATGTTTGTGAGCTCGAGACCAGTGTGGTCTACAGAGCGAGTGCCAGGCCAGCCTCCAAAGCCACAGAGAAACCCTATCAGAAAAAACAAGAAAATAAAAAACCAAAAAAAATTATCTATGCATTTATTCTCTTTAGGCAGGGCCAGGTTGGTCGACAGATCTGCCTGCCTCTGTATTTGTCTCCCAAGGGTCCCAAGAGTGAGCACCAACACGCCACGCCAAAACCAGCAATAATTATTATTATGTTTATTTATTTATTTTGGTTTTTTGAGATTCTGGCCTCACAGAGATCTGCCTGCCTCTGCCTCCCGAGTGCTGGGATTAAAGGCGTGCGTGGCAGTCCGGCTAAAACTAGTAGTTCTTATTACAAGCACACCTATACATATTAATTTTTTTTTTTTTTGGTTTTACGAGACAGGGTTTCTCTGTATTGTTTTGGAGGCTATCGGTCCAGCCCGGCCTTGAACTCACAGAGATCCACCTGAGAGCTGGGATTAAAGGCGTGCGCCACCACCGCCCGGCCGCACCTATACATAGTAAAATGGAGGTATTTACCAAGAAACTTCAACTCCCAAGGAGCAACGAGGGAGAAAACGGAAGTTTTTTTTTTCTCCGTCTACTGTTTTTCATAACAGGTGCTCGGGCTGAAATAATACAGGGGCCTTAAAATAAATCTTAGAGAAGGTGGGGCTTGATAACTAGCACTCAAAACATTTCGTTTCCTCCTGTAAAACAGCCGGAAGTCACTGGTCCTCGCTTGAACCACCCTGCCCCGCCCCCCGGGAGAAACAGGAGGGCGGGGGTGACGCCGGAAGTGACGACACCGAGCACGGCCTTAAATAGCAGTAGGCCGCTCTCCCCGCTCTCTCGGCCTTAGCGCCATCTTCCTTGGTGAGTGTGTGTTCCCGGCGTTCCGACTTGGCGGTGCAATCCGGGGACATCTGACCTCTGCGCCTGCCTTCACCGCAGCAAACTAACTGTAACCCTTTTCTCTCTCGCTCTAGGGACCCCTGCGCCATGAGAGCCAAGGTGAGCGTTGCGGTGCTGAGCTTGGGCGGGGGGCGGAGGTGCCGACGGAGACTCGCCGCCGTCGGGGCCCCTCCGGTGTCCGGCGGTGCCCAGGGGTGGCTGGGAGAGGCCGCCTAGAGCCTTCGTAGGCCCTGGCGGGGAACGACGGGGTGGGGAGCCCGGCGCGAGTCTCTCGGGACGTCGCCCCTCGCAGCCCGTTGCTAACACGTTTTCTCTCCCCTCGCGGCCGGCGCAGTGGAGGAAGAAGCGAATGCGCAGGTATGTGGCGGAGGGCGGTGCGGGAGGCGGGGAGGCGCCCGGGGATCTGGCCGCCCCGGAGCCCGGCGCAGGCCGGTGAGTGGCGGGGAGAGCCCAGCGGGTTGTCTGCTTCCCGTCCAGGCTGAAGCGCAAGAGAAGAAAGATGCGGCAGAGGTCCAAGTGAGCCGGCGGGGAGGCCGCCCGCGGGAGGGGAGGATGCCGGGGGCCGCTGCAAGCAAGCTGTCGGTGCTGCGCTGCCGCCGGTTGAGACTGCGTGGACCTGAACCTCGCCGTGTGCTCGCCGAGACGCCGCCTCCGGACACCCGGGACAGCCTTCCTCCAACCTCCGGCCCCGACTCCCGCTGGCCGCCGCGTCCCGGACTCGCTGTTGTTACTGCCCAAGTGTGACCCGTGTACAATAAACCATCTTTCGCTGTCTGAGCTGGAGTCAAATGGCTGTTGGTGTCTCTCGCGCCTCGTGGGTGGGAGTTGTGGGGTAGTTCGGTCTGTGCCGCGGGCGTGCGGGAGCCTGCGTGGGCGACAGCCCGGCTGCTTGGGATCCGGCCGGGGGCCGAGCGTGAGCCGAGCGCCCGGAACCGAGCTCCGTGCTCGCCCCGCGTTTTGCTGGGGGCTCGGCCGTGAGCGCACAAGGGGAAGCGGTTCGGGGTCCGCTGGGTCGCGTTGCCATGGTGACGCGCAAGGCTTGCTGGGAGCTTCCTGCGGCTATCCGCACGCATAATAGACCATAGAGTGGTCTTGTAGACCATAGAGTTTGGTTCCGGGTCTGGAGGCTAGAGCGTCCCTCCTTCCGCAGGAAGCGGAAGAACCGTATAGTGGGCGGCTCTTTGTCGAAGCTAGAGGACCGGCAGGCGGCAGCAGCAACTACGGCGGCGGCGGCAGGTGAGGGAGGCGGGAGACTTAGGTGGAGGCCGCGCCCGGAGGGGAGGAGCCGGGGCTGGCCCAGCGGCTGGGCTCTGCCGGGCCGCACGAGCCCCCGTCCCCCCGAACCCGCCTGGCTCTCCCTGGCTTCCCAGCCCGGAGCCCCTCTTCTGACTGACCCCGCTTCACGAGCCAACGCCAGCTCCGTGACGTCACAGCCCTGCCCATCCCCTCAGCCTGATGTCACCCCCTCCCCGCTCACGGTGCGCTTCCTTGGTGTCCTAGTCACCTGGCCCACGGCTGAGCGCCGGCGCCACTCCGCCGAGCCGGCCCGGCCACCAGTCTTTCAGGGAAACTCTGGGACTTGTCGTGAACTCCAGGGTGTTGGGGACCGTTTTAGTCACCGCCCCCAGCCTAATGTCGCCTTCCCACTGTCCTGTCAAGTTGCTGCCCTTGTGCGGCTTTCAGGCTCGGCGTCCCGAACTCCAACCCTAGATCGGACTCTGATCCCCATATCCTTCTCATCTTGAGGTAAAACTCCCTCACCCGTCACCCAGACTGCCTTGTTTTTTTTTTTTTTTTTTTTTGCAACCCAGTTTCCCAGGCTTTATTGGTCGGTTCTTGCCCTTATCCTCCCGCTGAGCGGTGACAACTTGTAAGAGAATCCTGAAAAGCCACGAGCTCTTAGCGTTGTGTCAGAATTCATTCCAATTCATGAAAAACACCCCCATAAGCCCTTCACGTTTTTCCCTCTCCCACCCAAATCTCTTGTTTTTTTTTTTTTGTGTGTGTGTGTGTGTGTGTGTGTTTGTTTCTTGTTCAGAACCCAGCAGTGATGTGGAAGTGGAGACTCACGGGAGCCCCGGACTTCACCTGAGCTACCTCAGGTACTGATTCTGGGATAATTGGGTGAGGAAAAGTATATCCAGCTTCTGCTGTGGTAGGACTTGAGACAGCTCAGGCTTTGAGGACATTGTTCACCTGGTCATTTATCTCTGCTAAGGGTTTGTCGTCTCTTTACCACTTGTTTCTTTTATTCTGGGGCCACTCTTCTTCGTTGGTCAGATCCCTGTGTCTCTGGGCTCTGGTCTGTTTTAGTCATTTTAGGGAAATCTAAAGGCAGAGGCAAGGAAACGGTATGAATGGGATCATAAGTCAAAGCCAGGGATATAGAGAAAGATATCCTTACGCCCAGAGAAATGTGTGAACTCCTATTTGGACAGCAGGGGGAGCCTGAATACTACTTAGGAACCCTTTAGAAGATTAGACACGTGGTAGCAGGGACTCCCAGTCTTACTTGGGGGATAGAGAGAAGGGAGGGCTTGAATTAGGGCAGTGGACTGGCATTCCAGCGTTCTCTTGGGAAACAGGAGACTTAAAAAGCTTTTATAGAGTCTATAAATAAAGAGGATTTTTATGGGGGTAGGGAAGTGCTATGGTTTGATATTAGTGGGATGTTTTCATGCAGGGGGTTGTGGAAGAAAGGTCACCACCATTCCTATGAAATTAACCCCTTCCCACCTCTACCTTGGCACAGTTTTGTCCTGGGGACCTAGAGGTGGGGATTTGAACTTAGAGCTTCTTTTGCTGAAGTGTAGGGGTGTGTAGAGCAGGCTGGGAGATGAACAGCTTTAAGGACCACCCTCTAGCTGGCACCTGAAGTCACCCAAGACTTCTAAAATACCCGGAGACTTGAACTAAGTTCACCTGGAACAGGGGTTAAGGGACATTTTGTTACTGGTCCTCTATCCACAAGTTCTCAAAGCTAAATAGCTCACCTTAGAGCCCTGTTTCCAATCTCTGTCCGTTCAGGCGCCAATACCTTGTTTAGCGTCTCTCTCACAACTCAGTCAGCAGGGAAGGTAAAACCTAACACTAGTCTCTCCCCACCCCCTCCTGGCTCATTGTTAGTGACAGCGGTTGCATCCCGGCTCTCCCTCCTCCATTAGCCAGGCAAGTGTGAATCGCGCCAGGCCAGACCAGGTGCACAGGGCCTGGGCGGGACTTCTTGCAAGTCAGCCAGGCCAGCTAGAATTCTCCTCCCTCAGATTCTCCATCTCCAAAGCCATTGCCCCAGAAGACTGCCCTCTGCACAGTCAGGACCCGTCTGACACAGCTCTCTTTTTTTAACAGTCACCAAGAGTGGCAAGGAAAGGAAGAAAACCCTGAGTTGGGGACCAAGATGCCTGACCGGGACAACTATGCCAACGGCACTGGGAACAGCAGTGGAGGCCCTGGAGGTGGTGGCAGTGAGGAGGCCAGTGGGGCAGGGACAGGCAGTGGGGGGGCCACCTCAGACGCCATCTGCAGAGACTTCCTGAGGAACGTGTGCAAGCGGGGCAAGCGCTGCCGATACCGCCACCCGGACATGAGTGAGGTGTCCAACTTGGGGGTGAGCAAAAATGAATTTATTTTCTGCCATGACTTCCAAAACAAGGAGTGTAGCCGTCCAAACTGCCGTTTCATCCACGGCTCCAAGGAAGATGAGGATGGGTATAAGAAGACAGGAGAGCTGCCTCCTCGGCTGAGGCAGAAGGTGGCAGCTGGCCTGGGTCTTTCCCCTGCTGACCTACCCAATGGTAAGGAGGAGGTCCCTATCTGCCGTGACTTCCTCAAAGGTGACTGTCAGAGGGGCACCAAGTGCAAGTTCCGCCATCTGCAAAGGGATTTTGAATTTGATGCCCGAGGGGGAGGAGGCACCGGAGGTGGAGGCTCAACCGGCTCTGTTCCCCCGGGGCGACGCCACGATCTCTACGATATCTACGACCTTCCTGAAAGGGGCTTTGAGGACCACGAGCCAGGCCCTAAGCGCCGGAGAGGTGGCTGCTGCCCTCCTGATGGCCCCCATTTTGAATCCTATGAGTATAGTGTGGCTCCGCCCCGTGGGGTGGAGTGCCGACTGCTAGAGGAGGAGAACGCCATGCTCAGGAAGCGGGTGGAGGAGCTCAAGAAACAGGTCAGCAACCTGCTGGCCACCAATGAGGTACTTCTAGAACAGAATGCCCAGTTCCGCAATCAGGCCAAGGTCATGACCCTGAGCTCCACTGCACCAGCCACTGAGCAAACCCTGGCCCCCACTGTGGGCACTGTGGCCACTTTTAACCATGGCATTGCCCAGACTCACACTACTCTGAGCAGCCAGGCTCTACAGCCTCGCCCTGTGTCCCAGCAAGAACTCGTGGCCCCTGCTGGAGCCCCAGCTGCTCCCCCAACCAATGCTGCACCTCCTGCTGCTCCACCACCCCCACCTCCACACTTGAACCCAGAGATTACGCCCCTGTCAGCTGCTCTGGCTCAGACCATCGCCCAGGGGATGGCGCCCCCACCTGTGTCCATGGCCCCCGTGGCTGTGTCGGTGGCTCCTGTGGCTCCTGTGGCTGTGTCCATGGCCCAGCCTTTGGCAGGGATCACAATGAGCCACACTACTACTCCTATGGTGACTTACCCCATCGCTTCCCAGAGCATGCGTATCACAGCCATGCCACACTGACAGGACTAATGGACTCTACTCCCTGTTACAGCATCCGAGGGCTGGGGTCGGGGCCCTTCCAGGCCATGTCTGAAGGGCCACTCAAAAACTAGGACAAGAGACTACAAGGAATATACTTCGTAGGAGCATCTCCTGAGGCAGGGTTGTGCCCGTGTGTTCTCCTCACTCTTGAGAGGGTCCTCTTGTCCTTCGGGCCTCACTCATACAGAGGCTTGCATAGGGAAGAAAGGACCCTGTTTACTCATAGGAAGTTGGAGATGTCCCTGGTCTTGTCCTCACTTGTGAACAGCACAGGTCCAGCACTGGTATGAGAAGAGAGAAATTCCCCACCCAGAGGGAGAGCCAGGAAGGATGGGGAAAGTGGGTGGTCAGGAGAGAAGGCCTCACGTGAGCCTTCAGATGGTTTGGGGCCCAGAACTGCTCCTGGGCCCCTGGGAAGGCTGGGACCATAATACTCCAACCCAAAGACTAGGGGAACATTCACTTACCAAGCTTGGCCTGGAAACCTGTAGGGCAGTGCCCACTACTTTCCAAAGAAATAAAAGATTATTTTTTAACAAAGGAAGTTAAGTGAGAATTGCTTAGGTGGCTGTTGGGGAAGATGGGAACATAAAGCAGACTTAATGACACATAAGGGAGAGAGCTACCCTTGTGTCCTGTGTGAGTCGGGGAGAGATGTAAAGTGGCCAGTGGGGCTCTGGTCTGGGGCAGGCACTCTGGGGTAAGAGAAATGGAGCCACCTAGTCTAGTTTAAAAATAGCCCCATCTGTTTCTAGTCTCTGTCTTCATGTACTGTTCCCAGGTTGCCTTAGTAACCAGGGCTCTTAGGGTCATTTAGGGGGGCAGGTACTAAGGAGGGTGTGCCTACTGAGAAGTGGGCATCTGGGGTGTTAGGTGGTTGACAGACACCTCCCTCATTCTAACAGTAGGACAGGTGGTGTTGCCTCTCAGAGTTGTTGATGGCAGTTTGTGTCCTGCTCCAACACTTCTTCGTGGCCAGAGCTTTAAGCTTTCCAGGCTTCAGACATGCTAGGAAAAGGCAGATGTGGTATTAGTAGACTTCTAATCCTAGTACTTGGAAGGAGGGGACCAGAGGATCAGGAGGTCAAGGTCAGCCTGAAGACCTTTCTTCTCCCTCTACACAAGACCGGGAGGTTTTAAGCCACTCAAGGGTCGCTAAGACAATGACCCCAGTAACTGACCTTCAGTGTCTCCATCTGTGGCTAATGGTAAGGGGAAAACCTGGTGTAGAAGTGACATTTGGTTGTGCTTGCTTCCTGTGTTGCCTCTCTAGGTACTGTTGGCTCTCTTGTCTGGTTGACCACTCAGTCCTTGAAAAAGAATTGTTTAAGATGGGGAATGCTGTAGCACATACCTACAGGCCCAGCTGCTCAGGCTGAAGTGAGGATGGGAAACACTAAAATGTGGGTGGGTTGGAATGGCGAGATAGCTGAGTGGGTAAAGGTACCACTGTGCTGCCAACCACACAGACGACCTGAGTGCCACATAGAAGAGAACCAACTCATGTCAATTGGCTGTGAGCTCCAGACACCTACTATGGCCTCTGCATGCTCTCACACTGTGTACACTTCGGGTTTTTCCGAGACAGGGTTTCTTTGTGTAGCTTTGGAGCCTGTCCTGGAACTCGATCAGTAGACGAGACTGGCCTCAAACTCACAGAGCCCTGCCTGCCTCCCAAGTGTAGTTTTGGTTTTTTTAGATTTATTTATTATGTGTACAGCATTCTGCCTGCCTGCCAGGTCACCAGATCGAATTATAAATGGTAGTGAGGCATCATGTGGTTGCTGGGAATTGAACTCAGGTCCTCTGGAGGAGTAGCCAGTGACTGAGCCATCTCTCCACCACCTCACCCCCACCCACCCCCTTTTTTTTTGAGACAGGGTTTCTCCTTGTAGTCCTAGCTGTTGTGGGTCTCCCTCTGTAGACCAGGCCAGCCTTGAACTCAGAGATCCACCTGCCTCTGCCTCCCAAGTGCTGGGATTAAATAAAGGTGTGTGCCCACATATTTGGCATATACAATTTCTTTTTTTTTTTTTTTTTTTTTTTTTTGAGACAGGGTTTCTCTGTATTGTTTTGGAGGCTGTCCTGGAACTCACTGAGTAGACCAGCCTGGCCTCGAACTCACAGAGATCTGCCTGCTTCTGCCTCCTGAGTGCTGGGATTAAAGGTGTGTGCCACCACTGCCCGGCCACTTAATGGTTTTTTTTTTTTACACAATTTTGGATTATTAAAAGAGATAGCTTAGGAATGGTTAGGAATATGTTTACACATACCATCATGAATTCTCAAATCCTTCCTTCATTTCCTTCATGCCAAATGTCTAAGAAGTAGTGATTTGGCAACTGTAGATACCAGATATATGAATGCATTCCAGCTACAGATCACCAGCTGTACAGTGTTGCCCACGTTGGGTTTAATGCTCATTGCGATGGAAGGGAAAATGAACCACCGAGCATAGGAGTATGCCACAACAGAAAGGTGGTGGGACTTAGAGAGGGGTAGGGCATGGTGGCACAAACCTGCCATCCCAGCACTTGGAAAGAAGAGGGGGCGGTGTGCTCCTGCAGAGAACCTAAGTTTGGTTCCCAGTACCCACACTGGGCAACTCTCAACCACCTGTAACCCCATCTCTAGGTGGGGTGTCTGAAATCTGGACTCTGAGGGTACCGGTACCTGCACTCCATATGCACACAGACACACACGTCTGCACACACACACACACACACACATGTGTCTGTACACACATCTGCACACACACGTGTCTGTACACACACAGGTCAGCACACACACATCTGCACACACACGTGTCTGTACACATACACACACATTTTATTTTAAAGGGGAGAAACTTCCGTTTGGGATTTGGGTTAGTGATTTGGGCGTTTAAGGAAGTGGGTATTGTCAAAGGAGGCAGGGGTCATTCTACAGGTGGGCATCTTGAAAAGGAGGACTGGCTACAGGGTACTAAAGCTGTGGTGGTGATGCAGCAGCCATCGCTCTAGCTTAGACGCAGATGCTTGCTTCTTTGTGACATGCACACTAATCTTATGCTTAAAGTGTGAATTGGTTATATTATTTTTTGTCTTTACCACAGTCATTCTCTTGTTTTTTTGTTGTTTTTGAGACAGGATTTCTCTGTAACAGCCCTGGCAGTTCTGGAACTCACTCTGTAGACCAGGCTGGCCTCTAATTCACAGAGATCCACCTACCTATGTCTCCCGGGTGCTGGGATTAAAGGGGTGCGCCACCACCATCCGGCCATCACTGGATGACAGTCTTGTGCTGATATTTTGCATTTGGTTCAACACCAAAACTGTGAACCCATCAGCTCAATGATGAAACCTGGCTGGCTCTGTCAGCTCAGCTCCTAGACATCAGGAGATAATATGTGCATGTGTGTGTGTGCTGGTGAGCTTAAGTCTTGCAGATAGTAAGTGCGTGTGTGTGTGTGTGTGTGTGTGTGCGCGTGTGTGTGCGTGTGTGTGCGTGTGTGCTGGTGAGCTTAAGTCTTGCAGATAGTAAGTGCGTGTGTGTGTGCGCGCGTGTGTGTGCTTGTGTGCTGGTGAGCTTAAGTCTTGCAGATAGTAAGTGCGTGTGTGTGTGCTCGCGTGTGTGTGTGTGCTGGTGAGCTTAAGTCTTGCAGATAGTAAGTGCGCGTGTGTGTGTGCTCACACTTGCTCAACCAGGTTCACATTCCCAGTTCTAGTAGCCCACGTCCCCCAAAAGCACAGGGGGCCAGGTTTGGTTCCCAGCAGCCACACAACTGCTCACAGCAGTCTAACTACAGTTCCAGGGGATCCAACACCCTCTTCTGGCTTCCGTGGGCTGCGCAAACAAGCGGTACAAAGACATGTCCTCAAGCACACACAAATACCCATAAAACAAATAATCAACAACAAAGCATACAAGGTCAGCCTTGGCTATTTAGCAAGCTCAAAGCCAGCCAGAGCTACATGAGACCCTGTTTCAAAAGCACAAGAAACCACACCGTGTGAACTGTCCCTGGTAAAAGGTGAAAAATCCTCTATTCACCTCAGTTAGGGTAGGAACAATAGACCTTGATAACGAGCTATTTGAATCTAGCTTGATAAGCCAATGAGTTCATTAGGTTTAATTAATTAATTAGGTTTTTCTCTGTGTAGCCCTGGCTGTCCTGGAACTCTCTCTGTAGACCAGGCCGGCCTCAAACTGACAGAGATCTGCTTGCCTCTGCCTCCAGAGTGCTGGGATTAAAGGCATGTGCCATGAGTGACGTGATACCCAAACAGCCCTACCAAAGTGTCCCTCCCTCAACAGAGTCTTCTGCCCAAGCTTCATGTGCTCTAGTGCCTCCTGAGACCTCGTGGCCCTGGGGCAGGGTTACTGGGGAAAGACAACACAGGAGGGAGCGAATTGCTGGGATCTCACTGGAGGGATGATGACCCCACACCGTCTATGGGGCAACTTCAGCAGAAGAAGATCTTGCTGAGGGTTTTTTGTAGGTACTCATGGCTGCTCTGATGGAGAGAGAGAGAGTGGAGCCAAGACAGGAGCCTCAAACCAAGTGGCTAAGGGGACAAGAGACAGAGACGCCAGCAGCCAAAATGGCTGTTTATACAGGAATCAGAAAAGCTGGGTAAGTAGGCCCTGGGTGAGAGTTTGGAGTCGGTGGCACATATGCAAGCCAGGAGGACTGTGTAACAGGTCGGGACTGAGGGAGACGGTGACATGAGTCCACCAAGACATGTTAATAGGAAATATGGAATTAGCCTTTTTTTTCTTCCCCTTTGGTTTTTCGAGACAGGGTTACTCTGTGGCTTTGGAGGCTGTCCTAGAACTAGCTCTTGTAGACCAGGCTGGTCTCGAACTCACAGAGATCCACCTGCCTCTGCCTTCCAAGTGCTGGGATTAAAAGCGTGCGCCACCAACGCCCAGCTGGAATTAATCTTTAGTCCTGAGTTTGAGACCTAACGGAGTGCTTGCAGCTACCACTGTCTTCAAGAGTTCTGCTGGCCCCTGCTCACAGCCGCTCACGACACCTCGGCCTGCTGACTATTTCATCTCTCCTAGGAAGAGGCAGGGGTCACAGGAGCTAACCCTGCCCTAATTGCCTTGGGGTCATGGTTCATGGGGGCAGGGCTAGAGGGTGTAGGTCGGAAAGGCCGAGGGGAAGGCGCTCTTCTCGGTACAACCATGGGGATGCTGTCATCCCTCCTGGGTGCCGACAGTCCAGTGCTGCTCTTACTCATACCTTCTCACTCGCTGTTCTGTAAGTAAGCCTGATAACTCACTGGTTCCCCCAGTGAACTTTGGTGGAATTGTACCTTAGTCTTTGGAACTTTAGAATTAGGGTTAAACATCGTGTATGTCACCAGGGAAGGAATATTCCCAACACTTGCCAGGATGAGTTGGGAAGACCATGGTATCGCTCCTGATAGAAGCATGACTTGGACAGCAGCAGTGTCACTGTCTGAAGGTACATTGCTTGCAGAGGGGAGTTTTGACACAGTGGCCTGTCCCTGTAGGGTCTGTAGGGGTGGTGGCAGAGGCACGGGTAGTATGGAGGATGTGACACATGTAGACATGGTGGGACCACCTGGAGGTAGGGTATCTGGGGGAATCCCTGGTGGCATTCTTCTGTGTTGTTCAGAGGGACACAGCTGCTTGGCTACTGAAGCCCACCATGTGAGTATGGAGATGGCCTGAGGGAAATGACTCACCAGAGACCAGGATACCGGAAGTGGCTGCCAAGGCTGCAGGGATGCTACTGGGCAGTGAGAAACAACTTCGGGGCCACATGTGGTGACACTTTTTTTCTTTTCTTAATTAATTTTTAAATTTCACATGACAACCACCGTTCCCCCTCCCTCATCTCCCCCAGTTCCCTCCCCCACCTTTCTACAACCCCCCATCCTCTCCTCAGAAGGGGCGAGTCCTCCCACGGGAGCCAACGAAGCATGGTATATCAAGCAGAAGCAGGACCAAGCTCCTCCCGATGCATCAAGGCTAAACAAGGCATCCCACCATAGGGAATGGGCTCCAAAGAGTCAGTTCATGCACTGGGGATAGGCCCTGGCCCCACAAACAGACCAAGCTACACACCTGTCAGTCACCCTCTGGAGACAGGAATAAAGAAAGGGCACGCAGGTGGATCCCTCCCTGGAGTTAGAGTGATCAACATGCCTGTCACCCACTCCCAGACTCAGGGACCCTTATGGGAGAGGGTTGGGAAGAATGTGAGAGAAGGGTAGAGGTTTTGTGCAGGACTATCCTCGAACCCAAACTGCTGCCTAGGAGTTCTGCTGGGCCTGCTCGCCAAAGCTCTCGTCACAGCTGGGCCTGTTGACTATTCCCATCTCTCCTAGGAGGAGGAGGCAGGAGGGTCAAGGGACCCTCACCTGAGTATCCAGCCAACCCTGCCCACCGGCTGTATGCAGTTCTGCCCTAATTGCCTTGGGGCCGTGGTTCATGGCGGCAGAGCTAGAGGGTGTAGTGGGAAAGGCTGAGGGGAAGGCGCCCTCGCGGCCATGAGGAAGCCATCATCCCTCCTGGGTGTTGCTGCTTTAAGGTTACCATCTGGTGCTCCGGCTCACAACTTCCCACTCGCTGTTCTGTAGGTAAGCCTAATAACTCACTGGGCCCCCTCCCGTGAACTCTGGTGGAAGTTTGGGTTGTCGTTGGAACTTTAGAATGAGGGATAAATACTGTGCATGTCTCCCCCAGAGGCGATTCACAACACTCCTCTGACAGAGGACCTGAGACTGGTTCCCAGCACCCAAACCTGTGACTCTGGATGCACACACTCAGTCTATATGTTGTGTATGTGTGCTGATTCATGAGGACGGATGCCAGAAGAGGACGAAAAGAGGATGCCCAGTCCTCTGTCACAGGCCAGAAGCAAGCGCTCAGCCTCCCACCACGCTCTGATGTTTTTCTGTTTTCTTTTCTTTGTTTGTTTGTTTTTCAAGACAGGGTTTCTCTGTGTTGTTTTGGAGCCTGTAAACCAGCAAGACCCGGTGATTCTCTGTCTCTGTCCCTCTGGGAAAGGGGCATAGGCTTGCTCTGGGGCCCAGCTTCTTAGGTGGGTGCTGGGAATAGAACTCCGTTCCTCCTGATTGTGCAGTAAGCCCTTTACCACTGACCCATCTCCTCCCTGGTTATGGGTTTTTAAAGATCACTGACAAACCAGAGAGACAGGTGAAAAAAAGTCAAACCAAACAAATAGCAAATAATTTTGAAGAGAAGGGGTGAGTCCAAAGCAAGCAATGTCTCAGATGTTTAAAAGGCTATCCAGTCAATCATGACAGTGTATACTTCCTAGTTACTCCAGAGACTGAGGCAGAAGGATTGCTAAATTGAAGACAAACCTGGAAAATTTGTCAAATAAAAAGGATTGTGGGGACAGTGTGTCATATGCCTTTAATCCCAGTACCCTGGAAGAAGTGGCAGGTAAATCTCTGGGTTCCAAGTCAGCCACGGCTACATAGTAAGGCCCTATCCTAAAATAAATTAATGAAGATGGCGCAGCTGGCTGCACAGTAGAGCGGAGTCCTGTGCTGTGCAAAGGAAATAAAATGGACTAAAAGGGATTCTAGACTAATATCCAACATTTACTTAGTATAAACCAAGGCACGGTGCTAGGCATTTTATGTATAATAGCGCACATACAGCGCCCACACTCAACATTCAAACACACACACACACACTCACAACCTCCTGTAACTACAGTTTCAGGACAATGATACCCTCTCCTGACCTCCTCATGTACAAGGCACTCATGTACCACACAAACATACATGCAGCAGGCAAAGCACCCATATATATAAAGTAATTTTTTTGAGATGGTTTTTCTGTGTAGTCCTGGCTGTCCTGGACTCACTCTGTAGACCAGAATCTCTGCCTCTGGCCGGCTATAAAATAAAAAATGTAAGGAACTGAAAACAAAACACGCGAATATTCTGCTAGGCTTCAATTACTAAGGAACGGGTCAGGATTCAATTAGGCAATATGACTCCAGACTATAATAAAGCTATCCGACTGACGGTAGCTTTTGAAGATGAGTAACGATAAAAGCTTCCTCAATCCTGTCTCCTTCCGTCTTCTAGAGTGTGTTGAGATCGAATACCACATCCGACCATGTGCTTCCCGCCGGAGGCAATGATGCACCCAGAAGTCCCTACTCAAGCCTTGTCCATCGAGACGCTGCCTTTACAGCATGTAACCACCAGGTGGCGCCCGTGACACAAGATTGACAACAGATGGAGCCCCACCCTGTTTGTGCAAAATAAGGCTTGGCAGCTAAACCTGTGGCTCTGGTGTCGCAGCTGTGACAAAACCTTCCTGAAGATCTTGAGAGATGTCGCTATGGGATGGATGAGGAAAGGAAGCCTGTCTATTCAGCAGGAGCTTTTCCCTTTGCTCTGGTTTTGGTGGGTGAGAGCGCTCCAACTAAGGACGGTCCTCACTTTGCAGCCTTAGTTCTGGCAAGCAGACCACCCATCTCTCTTCCAACCTCTGCTGTCTTTTCCTACTTGCTCACGTTTGGTGGGGAACCTGGGTAAGACAGAGAATTGAGCCTCAGTTCTGCAATGGGGTGGGACAGTCTAGAGAAAGGAAAGTAAAACTTAAGATTGCTTTTTGAAGCATATAGAAGGTGAGTTTTTCTGCCTAGCAGGGGACGTTGGGTTGGTTACTAGGGAGAGACGGGGTCTATAGCTGAGTGTGTCTCAGTCACTGTCCTGCTGTGACGAGACCTGCAAGACCAAGGCAGCTCTTACAAAAGAATGCCCTTGTCCGGTGTGGTGGCGCTTGCCTCTAATCTCCACACTCGGGAGGCAGGTGGCTCTCTGAGTTCGAGGCCAGCCTGTTTTACAGAGTGAGTTCTAGGACAGCCACGGCTACACAGAGAAACCGTGTCTCAAACAACATCAACAACAAAAGCATTTAACTGTGGGCTTGCTTACAGCTTTAGAAGTTTAATCCATCATGGGGAGCATTGCACAGGCAAAGCCTGGTGCTGGAGAAGTAGCTAAGAGCTACATCCTGATGCGGTCTGCCCCACCCCAACACTACACTTCCTCCGACAAAGCCACACCTCTTTTTTTTTTTTCCCCCGAGACAGGGTTTCTCTGTGGCTTTGGAGGCTGTCCTGGAACTCGCTCTGTAGACCAGGCTGTGGCTTTGGAGGCTGTCCTGGAACTCGCTCTGTAGACCAGGCTGGCCTCGAACTCACAGAGATCAGCCTGCCTCTGCCTCCCGAGTGCTGGGATTAAAGGCGTGCGCCACCAACGCCCCACATGGGGGCCATTCTTATTCAAACCACCACAAGCCAGTAATTTTAATTTTTTGTTTTGTTTTACGAGACAGGGTTTCTCTGTGTTGTTTTGGAGGCTATCGGTCCAGCCCGGCCTCAAACTCACAGAGATCCTTCCTGCCTCTGCCTCCCGAGTGCTGGGGTTAAAGGTGTGCGCCACCACCGCCTGGCCTTAATTTCTTTTTTTAAGAGATTTATTTACTATGTACAGTGTTCTGCCTGCATGTCTGCCTGCAGGCCAGAAGTGGGCACCAGAGCAAGTTCCAGGGCAGCCAGGGCTACACAGAGAAACCCTGCCTCAAAAAACAAAATGTATTTTATTTGTAAGGGTTGCCCCAGGCAGACCCCCGCAACAGTCAGTACAGAACACACCCGAGACACCAGATCTTAGCACGAGGAGACTTATTACCCTGGAGGGAAAACTGGTTGGGGAAGGCACTGCCTCTGGATTGGACAAAGGCAGGCAGGAGGCAGCAGGTTTTGTTTTTTGCAGGAGTGGGTTTGTAAGGAGAAATAAGGAGGTTTGTGTTAGAATGAGTACCTTCCTGCTGGTACTGGGGCGTCTTTGTTAGGGACCCAAGAAAACTGGAATGTTGGGCAAGGTTCCTCCTCTTCCTCCATTCTCCTATTTATCCTCTCTGCCTGCCAGCCCGGCCCATCCCTGCTCCTGCCTCACCATTGGTTCAGACAGGCACAGTAACCAGTAACACAGCTTCACAGAGTTAAGCAAATGCAGCATAAACAAAAGTCACACACCTGGAAATAATAGTCTACCACAGTCTACACAGTGGCCATCTGACAGAAAGGAGTGGCCACCTGTATAAAAAGTGCAGGCAGAGGCAGAAGTAGCTACAGGGGTCTTCCAGAGTCTCTGGACGGGAGTGTGGAGGATCTGGGGAGCGTTGAGGCAAAGGGATAAGCTTGGATGGGCTTCGGAGAGGACAGGTGAGCAATGTGAGTGATGTGTGTGATACAAGTTTGCAGGCACAGAATCCAAGATGGTGGGAGGCATTGGAGTCCTCTGTAGCTGGGAGTGGTGGGAATAGGTTATGGGGCGTGGGTCCCAGAGTTGAGCTGGTAGATGTAGAGAGTAATAGAGAGACTGTGGCAAGGTCGCAGAAGGTGTTGTCTAGAGTTTTGGAATGGCAATCGACATGGGCAAAGGATGGACCTAGAAAGTGTTTCAAGACTCCAAGGGCATGACCTAGTTTTTCAGAAATATCCAGATGGAAAGGTCTGCATAGATCTGGGAGGCACAGAATCAGGGCTAAAAGAAGAGAGATTTTTAAAAAAAATTATTTTATTTGCATGTATGTCTGGGTGAGGGTGTCAGATCTTGGAGTTACAGACAGTTGTGAGCTGTCATGTGGTTGCTGGGAATTGAACCCAGGTCCTCTGCAAAAGCAGCCAGTGCTCTTAACCACTGAGCCATCTCTCCAGCCCAAAGAGGGAGTTTTTAAGTTTAAAGAATTTTTCAATGGGAGGAAGCGACTAATGGGAGATCTAGAAGTATCTTGGTATAGAGGATGTACTAGAAGTAGTATGCATGATCAGAGGAAATTGGCCATCTCTAAAAAGAAAATCAGTTTGGATCTTGAGGGCAGAGATAAGGAGTGCAGATGGAGAAAATGGTCCAAAGTGAGTTGTTTGTGGGTTGGGGTGAGAGAGAACTGAAAATAGGTGACTTGGGAGAGGAAAGCTGAGCTTTGGAAGGTGAGATCCAGTAACTGCTGGAGCTGAGAAATTTGAGGAGTGAGGCAGCATTAGATTGGCTATCAGAAAGTGAAGGATTGTGGAGGAGGAGGCCATCTACACTCTGAAGAAGCAGGAGGAAGAGACGAGGGAGGCAGGCCAAGTGCCTGGCCAAAAAGGTGGGGTCGGTCTTTGGATCCCTGGGGAGGACGGTCCAGGTCGGCTGTGGGGACTGGTGAGCTCCGGGCTCTGTCCAAGTGCAGGCAAAAAGATCTGGAGAATGAACACCTGGAGGCATTGAGGGAACGGCATCTTTAAGGTGTAGGACTGAGAAGTGAGCAGGACCCTAGATCATGGTTGAGGGCGGTACTCACACTAGGGGGCAGGTTCTGTTAGGGTGTTTGACTGCCAGTGTGGGAGTGTTGTAGCGTGAAGAGGTGGAGCATAGAAACTTCTTGAATAAAAGGGATTGAGTGGCTGGGCAGTGGTGGTGCACATCTTTTTTTTTTTTTTTTTAAACATTTATTTACTACATATACAGTGTTTTGCCTACATGCCAGAAGAGGGCACCAGATTGAATCATAGATGGTTGTGAGCCACCATGTGGTTGCTGGGAATTGAACTCAGGACCTCTGGAAGGGTAGTCAGTGCTCTTAACCTCTGAGCCATCTCTCCAGCCCCCATGGTGCACATCTTTAATCCCAGTACTCGGGAGGCAGAGGCAGGAGGGTCCCTGTGAGTTTGAGGACAGCCTGGTCTACAGAGCGAGTTCCAGGACAGCCAGAGCTGTTACACAGAGAAACCCTGTCTTGAATGTCCCTGCCTCCAAAAACAGAGGCTTTAATGAAGGATTTGAAGCCTGAGGCTGGTTAAGGGTAGGGGTGTTGGCGTTTGTAGATATAGATGGAAGAGTCTTTAAGTGCAACAGAAAGGGTTCTGGGGGTGGGAGAGTACAAATAGAGGCTGAAGAAAGGAGGAGGAGGGATGTAGGGCATCTTAGGGGCTGTTGTCAGGGTAGAAGGCAAATTTTATGCCAATTTGGGAAAAGGTATCTTTTTTTTTTTTTTTTTTTTTTTTTGGTTTTTCGAGACAGGGTTTCTCTGTATTGTTTTGGAGGCTGTCCTGGAACTTGCTCTGTAGACCAGGCTGGCCTCGAACTCACAGAGATCTGCCTGCCTCTGCCTCCCGAGTGCTGGGATTAAAAGTGTGTGCCATTAACGCCAGGCTAAGGGAAAGGGTATCTCTTTTGTTGTTGTTTGAGATGGGGTTCCTCTGTGTAGCTTTGGAGGCTGTCTAGAACTAGTTCTTAGACCAGGCTGGTCTGGAACTCAGAGATCCGCCTGCCTCTGCCTCCTGAGTGCTGGGATTAAAGGCGTGCGCCACCAGTGCCCAGTGGGTGTCTCTTTCTAAGGGAATGAGGAGAAATGAGTGGGCAAAGGAAAAGCCAGGCACAGTGTGCCAGATTCCTGTAATCCTAACACTTGAAGTGCTAAGGCAGGAGGATCAGGAGTTCAAGACCAGCTGTAGCTCCTCTGAGTCTGAGATGTGAAGCCTGTTTCAAAAAACAAAAAACTAAAACTAAAAGAGGCCTGGAGAGATGTCTCAGTGGTTAAGAGTATATACTGCTCTTCCTGAGGGCCTGAGTTCAGTCCTCAACACCTATAGTACATAGACCACAACTATAGATCCAGGGGTATCTGATGCCTCAGGCACCTGTACACATACATTCACACACAAACACATGCTTAAAAAGAAATCTTTAGCAAAACAACGAAAAACTCAACTCTTTGTCAGGCTTGGCAGAGCCTCAGTAGTAAAGGTACTTCCTGTACAAAGCCAGCGACCTGAGTTCAGTCCATGGACCCAAGAAGAAAGGGCCGACCCCTGAAAGCTGTCTGTCTTCTGAGCTCCACATGTACACATATACAGTATGTGACCACACACACACACACACACACACACACACACACACACACACACACGTGTAAAGGTGGGGAAGAGAACCAACTTTACAAGGTTATTCTCTGACCTACACATGCACACACTACACATAATTTATATTTTTTAAAGGCAAGGTTTGGTGGTGTATACCTTTAATCTCAGAATTTGGGAGGCAGAGGCAGTTGAATTTCTCTAAGTTCAAAGCCAGCATGGTCTACAGAGTTCTAGGCCAGCCAGGGCAACACAGTGAAATCATTTTTGAAAGCTGTATGTGTACCACAGGGTTCATGTTGGGAGCAGAGGACGACTCTCAGAATATGACTTTCTGCTTCCCCCATGGGGGTCCGGGCGTTGAACTCAGGTCATCAGGCTTGGTGGTGAGGCTTGCCCAGTGGGCCATCTCTATGGCCCTCTGTCTTGTTTTTCTTTGAGAATAAGTCTCACTGAAGTTGGAACTTGCTAATTAGGCTAGACTGGCAAGTCAGAAAGCCCTAGAAACCCTCCTCTCAGCCTTCCCAGAGCTGGGACTCCGGGGTATGTGTGTGTGTGTGTGTGCACACGTGTGTACGAGTGTATGTGTGCACGTGTTCGTGTGCTTGTGTGTGCGTGCGTGTGTTGGGAGGCCCATGTGAAGGTCAGCCTTCATATGCCAGTCCTCACCTTTCTGCTTCTGAGGCAGGATCGCTCTGCTGCCTCATAAA